GATTGATCAAAGTCGGATCTCTATCAAAAGAATTGAATAAAGATATCCTTACCAGTAAAATAATGTCTTGTTGACTGATGATCAAGATCGATCAGAATCAGTTTGTACAGATGAGGAAATTAAGTTTATTCTAAATGAAAACCATCTGAACGTCAGGGAAATCTTCCAGACAAGTCATCTCAGATGATTCAAATTTGTTCAACAATGGCAACTTTTGCACGAACTGTGCGAATGACACGCATCAACGATTTAGAAACAAACGCCTTTGAAAGATCATGTGCAGTGAATTCGTTTAGCAAGAAAAAGCATTGCCGTCAATGATTTTCGTCTGATCATTCATATATTCGGACCCCTAGACTTGTGAAGTTATGGAAAAGCTAAAGATCGTATATTCAATATTTGTCATTGGAAAGATTAATGTATTTTATTTATACTCATGAGTAAATAAATGGCTGTTATGTTTTGATTAACGCATGCATTTTTTGTTACTTTATAGATAAACCAATGTGACTACTTTTGCACTTTTCGTCCCTGTTTCAGTTCAATCGGCTTTCTCCTTCTTTTTATCGATCTTTCGTTTTAGGCTGCTGAGCTTATCAGCTGCGTCATTGTTTGTCTTTTGGCGATTTCGCCTTCATTTCATTCTGAGACTATGTCAATGATTTGGTCTACATAATCCGTATAAAGAATTGACGTATCTAAGTCATTTCTTCTTTTGCTATCTGAAGAATGTTGTTGTTATTGTGAATGTCAACGTCAATATTCTATGAATGAAACGAAACGAAAATACATATTTTTGAGATTAAAAAAACATGAATCAATAAATGTTTTGAAGTCGTATCTACAATGCAACGATCTTCATTGTGAAAAGCTTTATTCTCTTGAAAGCAGAGACGAACGAATCGTCATTAAATCTAGATTTTGTTTCAAGTTCAATTTGCAGTTTGTGGATAAGGATATATTTGAACAGTTCTTTGACAAATCAATAGTTTCTCTTTTACCGTTCGACGAAAACGACTTGATGAAATTAAAAACATGTAACAACTTCCCTACATGAAAAGAAACCATAGAAAACAGAAAAGTTAAACGAATGAACTCACAGCATAGTACACATAGGTTAACAATGCCAGAACTGTTGAAGCAAAGCTCTCATTGATCAACCGATTCGTAACTTTGAAATCCCCGGCTGTTTTGAGCAGATAGATCATATTTATACTATACGGAAGGATGACAACGATAACAAGTACCACATGAAATAGAGTCATTTTCCGTAATTGCCGACCAGCTTGCTGTTCGGCAAGAACTCGTGTTGATTGAATATTTCGATGAGCCAAATATGAAAAAACAATCATCACTGTAATTGGACAGAAACACGTCAAACTAAGAGAATATATTAGAATATATTTCGCATAACCACTATTCATCAGTACGCATGTATTTGTCATCTGAGGAATATCATAATATATCAAACAAGGAATGGCATGGAGACAACTGATTGTGAAAATAAGGAGTGTAATTCGATATGCATATTCGATATTGCTTAAACGACGAAAATGAACATGTTTCGATGTCACGAAATATTGATCAATCGAAGCCTAAGACGAACAAGTAAACGAAATTAAACTGAAAACACCGATAAAGTATTGTCGTGCTCGACACCAATGCACTGATGTTCGACTTAGGTCAAAATCAAAACCAACACTAACAACACGAGATGTAAGATTTATTAAGAGAAATCCAATATTAGCAATTGAGCTGATAAGAAAGTAAAATGTACAAGGAGTTGTACGATAGGTGTGAGTACTGGAAAATACTACAACGTTCAAACTATTGCCTAATAAACCGAAAATAAGCAGAAATAAACCAATATAAATTGTTAACTGTTGACTAATATCCAACAAGGACATTTGTTAGTTCGTTTGGGATATAACGTGAGATTGTGCGTATGAATGCGAGATAAAAGACACAATTATGTCTAATTGAAAGTGATATAATCCCCACTTATGGTCGATGACGCCCCACTTATCTTACACCATTCGATGCAGAATGATGAGATCTATCCATCACAAGAGNGATTGATCAAAGTCGGATCTCTATCAAAAGAATTGAATAAAGATATCCTTACCAGTAAAATAATGTCTTGTTGACTGATGATCAAGATCGATCAGAATCAGTTTGTACAGATGAGGAAATTGAGTTTATTCTAAATGAAAACCATCTGAACGTCAGGGAAATCTTCCAGACAAGCCATCTCAGATGATTCAAATTTGTTCAACAATGGCAACTTTTACACGAACTGCGCGAATGACACGCATCAACAATTTAGAAACAAACGCCTTTGAAAGATCATGTGCAGTGAATTCGTTTAGCAAGAAAAAGCATTGCCGTCAATGATTTTCGTCTGATCATTCATATATTCGGACCCCTAGACTTTTGAAGTTATGGAAAAACTAAAGATCGTATATTCAATATTTGTCATTGGAAAGATTAATGTATTTTATTTATACTCATGAGTAAATAAATGGCTGTTATGCTTTGATTAACGCATGCATTTTTTGTTACTTTATAGATAAACCAATGTGACTACTTTTCTACTTTTCGTCGCTGTTTCAGTTCAATGGACTTCTCCTTCTTTTTATCGATCTTTTGTTTTAGGCTGCTGAGCTTATCAGCTGCGTCATTGCTCGTCTTTTGGCGATTTCGTCTTCATTTCATTCTAAGACTATGTCAATGATTTGGTCTACATAATCCGTATAAAGAATTGACGTATCTAAGTCATTTCTTCTTTTGTTATCTGAAGAATGTTGTTGTTATTGTGAATGTCAACGTCAATATTCTATGAATGAAACGAAACGAAAATACATATTTTTGAGATTAAAAAAACATGAATCAATAAATGTTTTGAAGTCGTATCTACAATGCAACGATCTTCATTGTGAAAAGCTTTATTCTCTTGAAAGCAGAGACGAACGAATCGTCATTAAATCTAGATTTTGTTTCAAGTTCAATTTGCAGTTTGTGGATAAGGATATATTTGAACAGTTCTTTGACAAATCAATAGTTTCTCTTTTACCGTTCGACGAAAACGACTTGATGAAATTAAAAACATGTAACAACTTCCCTACATGAAAAGAAACCATTGAAAACAGAAAAGTTAAACGAATGAACTCACAGCATAGTACACATAGGTTAACAATGCCAGAACTATTGAAGCAAAGCTCTCATTGATCAACCGATTCGTATCTTTGAAATCCCCGGCTGTTTTGAGTAGATAGATCGTATTTATACTATACGGAAGGATGACAACGATAACAAGTACCACATGAAATAGAGTCATTTTCCGTAATTGCCGACCAGCTTGTTGTTCGGCAAGAACTCGTGTTGATTGAATATTCCGATGAGCCAAATATGAAAAAACAATCATCACTATAATTGGACAGAAACACGTCAAACTAAGAGAATATATTGGAATATATTTCGCATAAGCACTATTCATCAGTACGCATGTATTTGTCATCTGTGGAATGTCATAATATATCAAACAAGGAATGGCATGGAGACAACTGATTGTGAAAATAAGGAGCGTAATTCGATATGCATATTCGATATTGCTTAAACGACGAAAATGAACATGTTTCGATGTCACGAAATATTGATCAATCGAAGCCAAAGACGAACAAGTAAACGAAATTAAACCGAAAACACCGATAAAGTATTGTCGTGCTCGACACCAATGCACTGATGTTCGACTTAGGTCAAAGTCAAAACCAACACTAACAATACGAGATGTAAGATTTATTAAGAGAAATCCAATATTAGCAATTGAGCTGATAAGAAAGTAAAATGTACAAGGAGTTGTACGATAGGTGCGAGTACTGGAAAATACTACAACGTTCAAACTATTGCCTAATAAACCGAAAATGAGCAGAAATAAACCAATATAAATTGTTAACTGTTGACTAATATCCAACAAGGACATTTGTTAGTTCGTTTGGGATATAACGTGAGATTGTGCGTATGAATGCGAGATAAAAGACACAATTATGTCTAATTGAGAGTGATATAAATTCTTGTTCACTTTCATCAAAATTTCTTGTTTGAAGGTATGTCACTTTTTTTGCATTTAATGAAAAACATATACTCATTTCTTTTATTTCTCACGAACTAATTACGGTAATTATATAACTTCATTTGCATCTCTGATCTCACAGTTGGGAAGCATACCATAAGGTCGATTATTCCTCGATATTTTGAATACGTGACATGAGAGAGAGAACCAAAGTGCAGCATGTCTATTTTTGACGGTCACGTTCGGAAAAGGAATGACGCAGGCGTAGATGTCACTTCTATACAATTACATTAAACATTCTTAATCAAATTTTCATTAATATTTCGTTTTAAATCCTTAGTCTGTAGAAATTTTCGTGAAAAGATTCTTTACGAAATAAAAACAAAATATTAGTTAAACATTCAACCAATCCTATGGCTGTCAAATCACACAAAGCAGTTCGCTTCTATTTCTGTTTTTCAGTTTGATTTCCAATTCTTCAACCATATCAAGTAGATTATTTAATTAAATTTTTACATGTTAAATTGAATTAGAATGGAAAATGTTGAAGATATCGAAAATCTTCTCTCCCTTCATTGGCCACATATCTTTTCTTCTATTGATCCTTCAACACCCATCACTCTCACCAAACTATCTCGATACAATTGGCTCATCAAATGTTCCGAACAACTTTCCTATGTACTTAAATCATCACAAACAAATAATTTGGATCTCGAACTGAAATATCTCACCGATCTAAATCGTTATTTCAACAACGAGTATCGAGTTCCACTACCCATTATCACAATCAAAAATGAAAGACATGTTAATGGCAAATACTGGTTGTATGAATATATCCATGGTAAAGTTTATAATGATTGTGATTGTGCACATCTATTCGATGAAAAACAACTGATCTTATTGGCTAAACTCATCTCGAAATATCATCAGTTTCTCATCACGAATTCGTCGACATTATCAACAAATAAGAAATCAACAACTCGTGAACATCTTCTCAAAGAGTTCAAACAATCCATCGTAAGTTCTTCATAAGGATGATGATGATGTGTTCGTTGATGTTGTTGTTTATTTAGGATGTGATTAATGAATGTCGAAAAGAAAGAATCGATTTAGTAAATGAATATTATCTTGGATGTTATCCATTGTTGAAACGATTATTAGAAGAATCACTTTCGAAACAAGAAAAGAGTCATTCGAATCGTAATTATCTTATTCATCGAAATATTCGACCATCAAAGATTATTTGGTCATCGAATAATGAAAATGATCAAATCATAGGAATCATTGACTTCGAGAATCTGAATTATGACACATTATGGCGAGATCTTGCTGTTTGTTTATCAACATTTTGTACATCATCATCACCATCGATCATCACAGATGTTGATCGAATGAGAATATTCATTAGTGAATATATGAAACAAATCTCAGGTGGTGTTGCAAAAGTTTCATCACAAACTGAACAAGAAGTATTTCATTTGATCGTTGATGAGATTATTTTATGTGCTTGTGAAGATTTTACATTTATTTATTGGCAATATCAACATCAAAATGAACTATTTCAAGGTATTAAAGCATTAGAGTTTTACTATAAACGAGCACTGTGGCATGCTGAACATGCTTTGAAGAAATAAAGTACTGCTTCCTGTTGTTGATGAGATTGTTTTGTTATTTATTTGAAATTAGACTATTCTTATATGTAAAAAGAAAATACATGAAATTAATAAACTTGATATATCTATGATTTTGTACAAAACATGCTGATTTCGATGTTTATGGAATATGACATCATGGCATCTTATTAAAGATAAATAAACTTCAATGCTATGCAACCGATCGTATCCGTAAGCTGCACTATTTCATATGGTGAGACAAGATGTTGGTTTGCAACGTTGACGACTGGATCGCCTAGCATGATATTATCGTCTGGATTCTCATAATATTTTCAACTGGCAATCTCGAAACATGACTTTCTCAATCGCTATCCATTAAGTTAATGCTAGATTCCCTAACGATTTCTAATTTCATAGCGTCAGCAACCCTTCTTAAGTTGAGTTATACTCGTTTCCAATTAAAATCAAAACAGTCTTATACATGAGATCATTAACTTCCAGTAGTAATAAAAATTCTTTCCCGCATTTGTTTGCAAAGCGAACATATCCCACTTTGTTACTATGAATAAAGAAACAATCACTGCATTTTTGTAAGCCGTATATTTGATAAACGTACGCTATGTTTGATGTTGGTAATATGCCATTGATGAATTCTGTAGGATTAGAAATAATTCATATCAATATTCTCCTTTGTTTCGTTTTATTTTTTTTCTAGTAGAAGATGGATATGTGAGGTGCCAGAAGAAAAGGGTGCATGTTATACATATGTACCCGACAGATGTATTAATTCAGAGTTTTATTCAACTATTCAGTTTAGACACTAGAATTCTTTCCAGAATTCACGACGAACGAGAAATGACAGCTAATCGAGAAGGAATAACTGAATGATTGGATTCAAGTTTGTCAGTAGGAGTGCATAAGATCCAAAATATTTTATTCTGAAAGAAGTAAGAATCATTTGTTAACATTGTCTTTTGAGAAATGCAAAAAAAATTCTTGGACATCAGCAAAAGGATTATCTGAAGGGTTCATCGACTTATAGATATCGTATACTTTTTCACATGATGGAAGAGCTTGTACATTTTCTGACAGACCAGAAAACATCCAGCCAATATTGCCATAAGAATCTATCAGTTTCGGATCGTCTGATGAAAGGCGTTTCTGACGAACATTTAATGAATTTTTAAAGTACATAAGTGCTTCAGATGTCCTGCTAGTTTTATCATAGATGAAGGCAGTGTTTTCATATTCCAGTGCCAAATGATCATGATCTGGTGGAAGATTCAATTCAGTTATACTGACGGCTTCGAGCAAACACAGGAGTGCTTTCGCGTACTACTCTATCACAACATATACTCTGCCAATGTTATTACAAACAGTTGCCAGCTCACGGTTACTTCGATGAAAGAGCTTTTCAGATATGGTCAAATATTTCTCATAAAAAAGCAGTGCTTTTGCATAATCGCCCAAGTTTTGATATACGAACACCGACAGCACCGAAAATAGGATGATCCACAGGATAAATATTCTGACATATATCATGCGCTTTTTGGTAGGAAGCAACTACTTCTGAATAGTTTCCTGGTGTATTGTAGATATCTGTAAGTTGAACATAGTTAATTCGCCGTTTGAAGGAGTAATGTCCGAAACATGTTTTAAACCATGTTGAATTTTCCGAGTTTAGTCAATAACTGACTCATACGATACCAGTCATTTTTTGTATGGGAAACGTTTCTTTTCTGATAAACTCAGTCAAGACATTTAGTTCTGGGCCACTGTCCGTAGTTAAGACTAAATTAACTTGCTAGAGACGGTCATTATTATCAATTTGTTCGAAATATTGAATGTATTGAAAAGAGGAATTCTTCTTCGTATATGTGGAAATTGACTAAATCCGTGAATATCAGCAAAAGTGTCGTTGACAAGGTTGACGTATTAATAGACATTTGAAAAACAATTCCAATTGATTCACAATTATTCATAACACTTACAGCAAAAGTCAGACCAACAGTTCGATCTTTACTAGTCGATAAAAAACCTGTTGAAAGACATCAAACTACTTTGAGATTTCAAAAATCGATCAAAATGAGCTTTAAACAAACCTTGACCTCGATACCCAACGAATGCCGACGACGTGCTGTTTCCATGGTATTGTTTACCATGTAATTCGGCAGTATTTCCGTGAAGATCTCGTAAAAAAAGCTCCATATTGACGATAATATCCACATCCATATTACGCAATGCTCGATTCAATACCGAATAAACAAATGAATGATTCGAATACCATCAAATCGAAGCATGATCGTACAGTACGCATTCTCGAAATGATGTCTGCGGATATCGAATCAGATACAATTATAAAAACATTTTCTTTCTCGTCATCAGTAACAAAATCGATATACGGATGAAGTTCAAAGAATATACATATATTATTGATAATTTTATGCAATTTTGATATTGCGCTTTGCCAATATGTCTCATTAGTTTGATAGAGATTTTCCTCCAGTTGTACTAAAATACGTAAGATCATCGGTATTAAGCGTATTCGATAAGTGTTGATCATGGCATTTAAACGAAGATTCGGAGTTCATCCTGTTCGTGTTCCCTTATTAAAGACTAAGTCTGTTATACCAATCTAGTGAATGAATAATCGCAGCGTCATTCTAGTAGATTTTTTCCTTTTCTTTCTCTTTTATTATTAACGAAATTGATGGAGCGATCCGTTGTATATATTATCGTAAAGTAAACACGAGGGTTAAACACCGAATGAGGAAATGTAATTGTACACGCATATCAACATAGTCACACAAACAATACAATTGAAAAATCAATCAATGTTTCTGAAAGAATGAAGTTTTTGTACGGTTGGAATCATTTCCAATAATATTCCGTTCATTTATGCAATCTATGCATGTGCCTATGTAGATGGGAGCGAAACTTATTTTGTTTTTGTGCTGCCATGCGAGAAACTGGACTCGGTTCTGGCAATGGCGAACATATAACATCAGCAACGTTACCATTTTGTCGTGGTGGAACATTGCCTGATTGAAAATATGTGATGATTACATTGTCGACGCATAAGTTACCTCGCAAGCTGCTGGCATGTGTAGTTCCATTTGTAACTGCAATAAGTCTAGCGCGAGGAAAAAGTTTTCGAACTTTTAAACTATTATCCAATGATAGAACAGGATCTAGAGTTTGAATGACTAGAAGGATATCACCAAGTTTTTCACCATCCACAATCACTGACTTATGTCCTTTTTTAGCCCAGTATAAACAAGGCGCACCCTTCCAGACAAGAGGCCAGGTTGTAATAGGAGCTTGTGGATAAATACGCCAAAAGTCTAGTCGAACCTTCTCCCAGTTTCGAGGCAAAGGAGCATCGGTGCACGTAGTGAAAGAGAAGGCGTCTAGGCTATTTCCCTGTTGAGCGATTAGTTCCAGATATAGTTGTACAATTAGAGTCGCATTTTTTTCGTTCACCAATTCGCTAAAAACTGCTCCGAATGTTAACCATGATTCTTGCGTATAAGCGACCGAAGAGAATAGACTGATCCATTCGTATGGACCAATCATACCATTGATCGGATTCCTTTCTAATTGGTTTCGTATTTTAAACCACTGAAATTCGACTTCGCTTTTAGTATTACCCAAACGAAAGACATTATCATGTTTTGCTACCCATTGAAAGAAGATTCCCATATTGCGATCAATTCTTTCAGGTACTTGAAGATCTAGTGGATACCACACCTTATCTGGATCGATATTTGAGTCAAGAACCATACGTCTCACACGAGTTGGATATAATGTTGCATAGATTTCACCTAAATAGGTACCAGCAGAAAATCCGTAGTAGTTTATTTGTTCTTGTCCAAGAGCTAAACGAATGCTTTCCATATCTTTTGCAGTATCAACTGTGGTCATATATGGGAGCAATAGTTTATTATTCTTGGCACAGTTCGAAGCATACGTTTCTGTAATATTCAACCAAATATCTTCTAAGTTTTGACTCGACGGAATAGGCTCTGGAAGGGGATTCGTGGAAGAATTAAGTGTACATCTGACGGCTGGCTCGCTGAAACCTACACCACGTGGATCGAATCCAATGAAATCATATGCCTGACCGACTTCTATTGGAAACGCTTGTACTATGAGAACTAGTGGTAAACCAGATCCACCGGGACCTCCTGGATTGAGCAACATAACGCCTTGGAAATTGTCGTCTAATACTGTGTGTTTAATGCGTGATACTGCTATTTTGATTTTGGTTCCTTGTGGACGATTGTAATCGAGTGGAACGGACAGAAGACCACATTCAGCTGGTGTCTGGATGAGAGCAGGATGTGTGCAGGGTCCCCACTGTATGTTAGATACCGGAATTTGAGGAGTAGTACTTTTGGTTGTGTGTTTTGTACCTACAAATTCATTGTTAGCCATTCATTGTTCAACATACTTGTATATTATTTACCTGACTGATGGTACCGAGGACGTTCATATCGATACGATGGCGATTTTCTGTATTCGTGTTCTGAATATGGCGGCTCTTCACTGTCAGTTTCGTCATCATAATCTTCTTCGGCTTCGTACGTCGATCCAATATCCACATACTCTCTTTCTTGTTTTTGTATATCAAAATATCTATGTTTTGTTCGAATACCACCGCGAAAACCACCGGTAAACGGGTTGATGGTTGGTATACCGGCACCATATACTACAAAATCGACAAAAAAAATACTCTGAGACTATCAAAGACATTAAACAAACATGGTATCGGTTGAAAATAAGGCATCATGTTAATTGGCCCAGTGGGTGGAGCACCACTACTAACTAAACTTGCATAACCAGAAGCAATTAAATCTGCAATTGAAAATCTTCGTCCAAAAAAGTTGATCACTGGTGGTAGAATATAGACTAAAAGAATTATTGGATGAATTTTGAATTCATTCATAAATTAGATTAGTTCTCACCTCCTGTTGGTGAGAATATGATTGTTTGTTGCGTTACTCGATCAACAAATAATGGTATTTGTGGCATGAAACTTAGAAATGGACCTCTCAGTGCTTGAAACAAAATAGAACATCTATGATTATAAGAGAAGGTCCTAAACGATCGGACAAAAACTACATACGAAATCGATTACGATCATAGCGTGCAACTGGAAAACGATATCGTTCAAAATCCCGTCGATTACCGTGATCAACTGGTTTACGCATATAAATATTCATATGGCCAAGTTTTTCAGGGCGATATTCTCTATGCTACATTAGAAAAATAAATCAAAACTTATGATGTCTAGTAAACAAAAACGCATTTACATATGAAGAACCGCTGCGTAACTGAGGGTTGTCATCGATCGGTATTGATGTTTGATCGATATCTGTGCCTATAAATCAGATTGTCAATCGACAATAAACAATATTTCTCGAAAACGTTAAAATTCACCTTGATCATCGTGCTTTGTGTGAACTTTGTACTGAAAGACACCTACGGTCATGATGCCACAAACAATAACAAAGAGCAACAGAATTGTATAGAAATATTTGCTTTTTGTCGAATCTGATGATCTAGAATATGAGATATCATTTTGTTAAGACAGCAAACTGTGATGATTAACGTTCTGGTACGAACTTTCTTGTAGAGTTTACCGTCTCCTCAACACCATCTTGACATTGTTCATCATTCACACTCATATATTTTGATGAAAAATGAGAGTCTCTTGGTTTATCCACCATAGTTTTCGTATCGAGAAGTATTACTTAATTTGTCGTCGAAAATCTCGGTTTATATATTGATGGCACATCCGAGGTAAATGAAAGTATTATCAAGTCCGTTGCACTTGAAAACATCGTATGATATGTCATATGACTCTCATGATATGATGTTCGCAATCGTAATAAAAATGTGCTTGAATAGACGAAGATAACGCAAACGAAGATTAAATTTTTAATAGACAGAAAAACGAAATTTGATTAAACATTGTCTTGCACAGATTATTCACACTATTTATTCTAGATACATGAGCAGGTGTTTTATTTTACTGCTATCTTTGTGATACTAAGAGATGTTTTTCAAAGTTTTTGCTTTCATTAAATATTATTGTTATTCGATAGTTATCACGACCTAACATTCCTTCGATATGTTGTTATGTTTATTCACGAAGATGACTTGCCGTCATTTACAAAATGAATGTTTTAAACCGTTGTCAGCTCTTGTAAATGTATACACATGGTAATATAGTTGAAATGATTAGCAATGGCCAAACTACCGACATGATCGCGAAATATATACGTGGATTTGGCCATTCCCATCGAACAGTTCTCACTTTTGTACCATGATAATAACACGGCGCCGTGCGATTGACCTGAAATGTAATTGACATGAAACCAGATCGATTTAACATAATCTTATAAAAGTACGTACCGAATTCGGTCCAGGTCCTCCAGATTCTATTGTTGTTGATTCGATTGTACGACCATCGGATACATTATATACAACTTCATATTTACGCATAATCACACACACTCCACCAGAACAATCTGTATAGTTTTCAAAAGATGTAACGAAACACGTTGTTGTTGTATAAAGACTTTCAATGGTCTTTTCACGAGCGTAATCAACAGTGGCTGCCAAAACAGTGAGCATTAATATACAAAGTGATGTGCACATCACTCCAAATATGATTATCATTTTTGCACTCTCCATGCTGTTTTACTCTAAAAATTGAAGAGAATGAATGTTGTTTTTTCGCTGTTTAAACATTTACAAAGAAACGAAATCACTCGCAACAGAATGTAAAACTCATGTTCTCTTACCGAATTTTAATCACTTAGTGGCAAAAATGTCCTGTCACACTACAAAGTACAATTTGTCATAGTTTTCTTCAGATATATTTCCACCAATCAAATAAAATTTCAATGCTAGTACTTCGTTAAGATTGTCTTTACTCATCAAGTCGAACTTCAATGAAATCAAGTGGTAGAATTCCGAGCAAACTTTTCTCAGACAGAAGCGTGCGCCATCTACACGACAGACTTCTGCTGACTCTTGTCCTTCAGTTCTGCTTCGTTATCGTACTCACCAATACTTTATTGTTACCATACACTAATGCGAGGTAAAAACAACATAACAACCCGTGGACACTCGTATGGTTTTTCTCGTCATGTGTCTGACTTGATTCTTTCCTGATACTATACACCATATAACCGTGTACTGTACTCGTTATTTGATTTCATTAAATACAGATACGTCGCCGAATTAAAAGCTGCGTTTATTGAAAATTATTGCGTATAATTTACATCAAATTTGTTTTTATACGAACAGACTCGATGGACCCACTTCAAGCGAAGTCATCTAGTGAAACGAGCGATGATATCACGTCGTCAATCGTCCCTCCAGATGACGACACTCCAATGTCAACTACTGTATCGTCGTCTGAGCATACAGAAGAATCTGGTGTGTTTCGTGTAAAACATTTTTCGTCGAAATTTTCGGTAACTCTTTTCTCTTCAGCTACACCAAGCTCGTCGAGTGATGCGGCAGACCTGGGAGTGGTTACGCCCTTTAATAACGCAATTGTAATGGCATCCAGTGAGCCCAGTTCTGATGATGCTCAGTTGCATACGTATGGTAGGTTCAAGTCAGAAACTATGGAAATATGGAGGTCATTATTTTCTCAGATTCCTACCAACCTGCTGAATCGAACATTACCGTTGAGCACGAGAGCAATCGGATTACGACCGATGGACTGAGATGTTCGGACTCGATCAATGACAGCATTTTGATGATCGTAGAATCGCCTGTGGTGAAGAAAAAGGAAGCCAGTTCCTCAAATGGTATGTACTAAATGAGTTTAATTAACTCTCTTTCATCAGCATAAATGATACCCTATATTGATTTTCTTTTAGCGCCGAGACGCGCTCGGAGAAGATTTAACATCGACTTTATTGAGTTTGACCAGACGGAAGAAAATTTGTAAATTATTAAATTGATTCCATGGTCTTCTTCAATATTGTTCATAGACTGACTGCAAGCATAAACTCGACGGAACTAGATTTTCACGGAGAAAAGATTGATGTGAATGTCGACGATTTAGACGATACTCGTGTAATTGGTAGTGGAAATTTTGGTGTTGTTTATGAAGTTACTCTTCGAAGAGAAACAAGAACTATTCGGATGGCCCTTAAAGTAGGTTGCTTCGAAATTACAATTAAAAAAACGAAGTGGGATTCTTTAACTAAATGTCAACGTATTGCAGTGTTTAGAACATAGAAGAGACAGGCATGGATACTCATCAGCCAATAACGAATGGGAAATATTAAAAACTATCGGTCCTGATAAGAATCCACATATTATCGAGTACTATGGTGCCATGATTAATTCTGTATGTATTGATTCCATGCGTGCATCAATTATTTGTACTCTTCTGTATTTATTGCAAAGTCAATTAATTATATGTGCATCTGGATGGAGTTGATGGACACGTCAGTGAAGAACTTCTATGTGACTATGCATTCATTAGGAGAACCTCCTCGTGCGCAACTCGAGTTTTTCATTCGTCGCGTTGCTCATCATGTAAGAATGCTCACTTAAATGCCGCGAGATACACAGACATACTGTCAAAAAATATCAATGCTTATTAATTTCCTCTTGAAATCATACAGAGTTCTTTGTATAAGTAGATTACTTCTGCATTATGGTTTTTGGAAACAAAAAATCTCCTCCATCGAGATGTTAAACCTGCCAATATGCTTGTTAATAAAGAAAATGTCGTTGTTAAATTATGCGATTTCAACATCTGTTGCCGTCGATCAAATTCAGATCTCCACCAAGGATCTACTCATTATCAACCACCTGAACTCAAAGAAGCGGCTATTCAGAATGATATGTGGGCGCTCGGTATTAGCTTATTAGAAATTATTACCAATAAACATCCATTTGAGGATTGGCCAGAAGACAATAATCGGTATTTTAAAATTATACTATGGGAACGTACAGTTCCAGAAGGGATATCTGCTCCGATGCGAAGGCTTATTTTACACTTGTCAGTAGTTCGATATAATCGATTTTTATAAATAATGGCTTCTCTTTTTAGGTTAATGAATTCCGCAGATGACCGGCCCAGTTCGTACAAAGATATTTTGGATACGCTTGTCGAGCACGACATGATTTCGGCACCATCTGATGCTGACAATCACTTTGTTTCTCAGGTCATGATCAACATTCCTCCCATTGATATTCCTGCCTAACAAGTTTCCATATTAGTTTGGATAAGCGAAACTTCAAACTCAATCTATATCGCTACTTTCTTTTCTTCTCCTCATTCATAAATTCTCGGTGTTGTTTTTATATTTGATGTTATTTTCAAAGTGAAACAGGAATGTTTTGTAAAATAAAGATCCAGTCCCGTATTTACGTCTATCTACGAACGCATTGTGTATTTGCAGTAAGAGCAGCTGGGCATGGAACTTGTTTGAAATTCATCGATGGATTGTCCGCATTTTGAAACCAATCGAATCGCCACAAGCAACCAGCTTGAATGCTTGGCGGAAGCTTATAACAGTCCGATCGTGCGCGAACACCTCCATACCGATCACCCCATGAAAACGAACCAACAAATTGACTCGAACATCCATCGAAAATACCAACACCGCCACCAGGCATTTGTAGGTCAAAATGATTTTTGCCTAAATCGCCGCCGGTATTCGTTACTTGAACAATCAATTCTTTGCCAACAACTGGACCCGATGTGAATACCAACGAATAACATGCACAGCACCAATCTGATTCTCGTTGATTCTTAATCAAATAGAATTTCATTCAAATACTTAGTTACAAAGTTTCTCCTCGTCACATACATTTATATAAGCAGCTGCATATCCATAAGAAAGAGTAGAACTAACATTCCACGGTTGTTGATTATTGCACATGTACGCACCGCCGCCATTACAACCTGATTGAGCATTGACATCAACGGGAGTAATGCCATCTCGTGCACAAGTTTTCACTGGATTCGTAACCGATGCTTTGCCTGACCAACCACAACTCGCTTTGCAACAATCCCAATAACGAGTGGTCACACCACTTTGTCGACCATCGCTGACCGATGGCGATTGCGTGGTTTTACTAGTAGTACTACCGCTTGAAGTTGATGATTCAATACTTGGTAAGCATTGAGAGTAATACTCATTACCGAACATACATTTTGAACCAGCACAGCAATTTGTTTGACCTTTCCATTCTTTGCCTCCACATTGACCATAGACAGTTACGCATGGTGCTTTAATAAACAATAATGTCGTGTTAGATATAATATTTTCGATGGAAGTTTCTCACTTGTTCGTGGTAGAGTCGAGAAACTTATCGCTAGAACAAATATTATCTTCAGCATATCTACTCTCTGAATTGAAAAACAGTCCTCCTATATTTTGTATTTTTCTCAAGCCTTAATATATCGTTTGGACAAACACATTTGCAGAAAGCCTGCTGAAGCTTTTCTTTTTCTTAATATCAAATAGTGCATCTGATATCCTATACTTTATTCTTAATAATTGATTATTACAAAAACAATATCGATTGCAATCATATCTCGATCTTAAGAGTTGCCGATTTACAGTGCAAGTATATTCGAACTGACGAGTAAGGTAATAAGTGAAACATAGCGAGGCAAGAACGCGAAGATGAAAGAATTCTTCGATTAAGTGTCCAGATCATCATTTTCATACACATATGCAGATATTTGAGTTCACCAGTTCTATACAGTATGTTTTAAATTGTCGTGAAGGAACAGGATGCGTTTTTCTGACGAATTCATACATAATTACTGACAAAATTGGGTTTTTATTAATATTTTTGCATTTAATCTTGTTGTGCTCATTTTCCACATGTTTTTTCCTAAAAGTGTGTCTATTGTAAACAAACCTCTTTGTTCTCGATCGACTTTACAATGAGCAGAAGAGTATTGAGAACTATGAATAAGATATGTGCATTTTTCAATGTATTCGATTCGATATGAGTAATTTCTTACGAACAGATGTGTTTAACAAGAAATGGATGAAACTGATGATTTGATTCTTCTGATCGGAGTTACTCCTGTCATCTTGATAAAAAATAGAATTGTTCTCATATGAAAATCTATACAAAATCATATTTCGGAACGCATTCTGAGATCAGCTGGGCTTTGATCATAGATGTGTGACATCTTAATGTCTCATTGCCAGATGATATTTACTCAGGCTTATATCATAGTTTATAAGTAATAATTACAAGAATATCTTAATTAGGGAAAAGGCAAAAGCTACTGATTTATTAGTATTATAGAATAAATAAGAGTTTAGTGTTACTAAAGGAAGAACAGAATGAAATCATTCAGGAGAAATCAAGTTTTCTTGTTTAGTTTATTTGATTATAGACACACACGCCCTTAAGTCCTAAAGTCGTGTTCTATGAATTCATCATTATGCAAACTCATCGTTCTCGATGCACCTTTAGTATAGGTGAAATTATTCTTGTCATTTTCCGGGTACACTGAATAATAATAAAAGGGATGTTTCAAATTTGCGCATGTCACTGCTCTGTAGAGCGATGCAACAAAAATGGCCGATCGGGATAAATTGTATAATTAGTATTACCGAAAAAGAAAAAGGACGTTTGGATATTACTTTTTTTTGCCAATGCCGGTGTTAACGAAACGGCACCGATTGGAAATATAACAGCAGAACAATATGATAAAATATTTTATATAAATGTCAAAGCAGTTTTATTTACTGTTCAAAAAGTATTACCAATCTTGGCAAACGGCGAATCAATCATATTGAATGGAGCTGTTCGATCAATTAAAGGATATTCAGACGAAAGTGTATATTCTGCTTCGAAAGCTACTGTCCAATTGTTCGCTCGTTGTTGAACAGTTGATTTCAGAGATCGTTATATTCGTGTCAATGTAGTTAGTCCGGGCTTGATTGACGCACCGGCACTAAAAGTCGCAAAAAGCGGTGAAATAGATGATGTTACTGCGTATCTTATACCTTTAATACCTGTCGACCGAATAGCCAAGTTTAAGTGTTGTTCTGCACGTCGATGCGTTAAACTTACAACGAACGACTTGAACTACAGCCATTAGGAGTAGTCTTTTTTCTGATAGGAGAGAAAAGGTAACTGGATGATAGATAAGCAGTTTTCATGAGAACGTGCATAACATTCATAAACAATTTTCTCGACGTCGCTCTAATCAACATACCAAAGCACGTATAGATGCGTGCGAAAGCGTTAAAACGCATATACTATTGTGTTATCAATCAATGTCTTTGTGTATGCAAGATCTTTCTTTGTATTCTGATTATAGGAGTGACGTTTTTGCGTTCCGTTCGGAAAAATGGGGAACACAAGTATTGATCTAATATTATAAAATAGCTACAATTCTCACATTTGCTTTCCGTATTTTTTGCGAACGAGGATCGCAAGAAGCGTTTTCATTCCCAGAACGGTGAACGGATTATAGTTTTGGTTAGTATTATAGGCAGTTATATGTCAATAGCTTAACTATGTTTGAGGAAATGCTACACAACGTTATCTGAGATCCGTTCCATTTCAAATAATGGAACGCTCGATAACGGGGAACGCTGACAGCCCTGATTGTTGTTTCCTACTCTTACAGAATATTTTATGAAGGTTTTTAAACGACTGTCGATTCTCCACAATTTTGTCGGCTCAAGTAGATCTCAGAAAAAGTTTATACTTTAGGATAGACGTTTTCCAAGACCTTTTCTGAACATCACGATTTTGGGCAAATGATAACATACCGTTTTCCATGTTCATCATGCTATAGACTTTCGCAGATAATATCTAAGTGTTTGAAACTAGGTATAATATAAGTACGTATGTTAGTTTTTTTTAATATTTTTCTTTGATGAATAATAATCACTCGAATGCATATCTTCTGCTACATCCATAATCCCCTGTGGACAAAACTGGAAAAGTTTCACTATGCTTGACTTGTATCTTTAGTAATTAGATAGTTCTTTAAGCTCGTTTATTATTAATTACTGTCCTGGTGTGATCAATATAATGCTGGAGCGTATGAATCTTATTGCTGTGCTCCTTACATTATTGTGCAATACATATGATGCTTCTCGTCGTATGTATGAAACACGAACTGTTACCACCGCTGGTGCTTTCGATTGCATTCACGATGTAGTTGCGAGGGTATTAAATGATCATTTGTTCGAGTCGAATGTGCGATTTCACACAGTACGCTTTTGTCGACAATCAACACTTAATCCGTTATCCCAACAGAAAATCAACATCACTCATGGTACTCCTATTACATTTCATCGTCTACGATCATCGAACATCACAGCCGAACAACTTTTCAGTTGGAATGCACCAATGGACACTATCGAAGACTATCGATCAGGTGTTGAAGTAGGATTATTTATGAACTGTTCTCAAGATGACAAGTATTGGTTTGGGCCAAATTGTGAATATACATTTGATTCATCGAGTTATTTTCCTGATATTGTCGATGATCAATTTAATGCAAAGGAAGGTGTTCCCGATGATCTTTTAACAACGGATAATAGTGTCTGTTTGGAAACGGGTGATGTCGAATGTCAGTCGGTGTTGTGTTTGGATTGGCGAGAAATATGTGACGGTAAGGAATTAGTTCATTTAGGCTTGTTAGCTATGATCGATATGACAGAACTACTAATCAGAAAATTAATTGACTCATATCAACTGGTCGTATTTTCCAGTTTGTTATACTTAAGCACGACAGATTCAGAATACTTCTGTACAGATGCTCTCTAGCACCTATAGCCATTTACGTACGGTAGCTCAGGATTAAATGAAAAGCAAATATCTTCTCTAGAATCGTTGAATAAATAACTAAAAGTGCTTGTAAATATTGAATCAAACTCTTCATTAATGTTTATGACATGTTGATCAACACAGGTGTGTTTGTTCCTTTTTAAAACTTAATTTAATTCTGATATAGGTAAAATCGATTGCACGAATGGAGCCGACGAAGAGTATTGCCATAGACTTGAAATGAATGAATGTAATCCATCAACTGAATATCGTTGTCTAAATGGACAATGCATCGATAAACTTTTATATTGGGATTCGTATCCTGACTGCATGGACTCCACTGATGAAACTGTTACACATAATAACTTTTGTTTCCAGAATTTTGATTTCAGATGTCAAGATAAATTATGTCCTTCAACGTGGTTTTCATGTGGTGATGGTGATTGTCACTATGCTCCAACTATCAATTCACCAGAATCATCCTGCAAGTCTCACCGAGATCTTCTCTATTACAAACAGACACTCCCATCAACAATCATCTTATTTTCACATATATTCATCACTTATCACAATCTCAAACCCATTTCGATTTGTTTCAACANCGATAAATTATGTCCTTCTATATGGTTTTCATGTGGTGATGGTGATTGTCACTATGCTCCAACTATCAATTCACCAGAATCATCCTGCAACTCACACCGAGATCTTCTCTATTACAAACAGACACATCCATCTACAATCATCTTATTTTCACATATATTCATCACTTATCACAATCTCACACCCATTTCGATTTGTTTCAACAAAACATTGTGTCCCTATTTGTCAAATGATGAAACTATAACAACAACTGATAAGAATGGTTTATCTTGTCGAGCTTTTGACACATTTGGTCGTAATGCTACGTATATTGACTTTTCTTCTATGATTAGAGATCTGAAACAATTGGTACTTTCATGTTCGTTGTTACCTAGAACTGATGTTACAGATAATTGTACATTATTCCAATGTGATGATGGAAGTAAATGTTTGTCGAAGTATCGATTATCAGATGGTGAAATCGATTGTTCCAATGGTGAGGATGAACATCAATCGAACACATGTGATCTCAATCATCACTATCGATTTAAATGTGATAATCACATCAAATGTATCCATCCATCTTTGATACGTAATTACGAGGTAAGTATGTGCAGTTATAAAATATTTCTGTTTTGGAAACTTTTCTCATAGGACGATTGCGGTGATGGAAGTGATGAAGAGTATTCGTATGCTTCACTTTGTGAAGATCTAAATACAGAACAATGTTATGCTCACCGTCGTCAAGCACATCAGTTTAACATGACATTTAGTCAACTCTGTAATTATATTCTTGAACGCATTCCAGATGCGAATAATGACACAGATGAATCTAACTGTCCCATGTCACAATGGAATTGTTTTACTCAATATACAAGATGTAATGAAGTCTGGAATTGTCCTGATGGTCATGATGAACTTAACTGTCATTGGTCTCTTCTTTCTTTACGTTTCTGTGATTCAGTCAGTCATTTCTGTTTAAATATTCGAGATGGAAATCAAACATGTTTATCTAAAGAACAGGCTGGTGATGATGTTGTTGATTGTGTTGGTTCAACAGATGAAAGAGAATATTGTCGTGTTCATTATCCCTATGAGTTTAAACGTCGTTATCGTTGTCAAAATTCGACGAAATGTATTCTGATTAGTGAAATATGCGATTGTCATCAAGATTGTCCTTGGAATGACGATGAAACGATCGCATGTCATTGGCTCAATAATGGAAAAGAAACGAATTGTGATCCTGATCGATTTCGATGTCGTGATGGCGAATATTCATCAACAGTTACGTTTAGATCACGATGCAATGATAATCTTTTCACGTGTAGTGATGAAGAACATCTTATCTTCTGTGATTTGAATGATCGATCAACCGGTCGACCATTCCAGACAAATTACATTCCAGAAGTTTCAAAGTCTAAAATCAATCAACTGGGTAGGAATTCGAGAAAAGAAACCGATCTTATTCATTGGTATTGTAATCGTGGAATCTATGTGTATTCACTCTCAAGTTCTCTCGGTTTCTATTGTATGTGTACAGAGTCTTATTATGGTCATCGATGTCAATTTCAACGCAAACGAATTTCTCTCATTCTTCAGTTACAAACAACCAGTTCATTCAACGCTGTTCTTTCATCGTTCAAAGTTGTTCTTCTCCTCGTACGAAATGATACTTCAAATACGATTGTCTCACATGATCAACTAGTATTTACACCACATCGACATTGTCTACCGAAATATTTCATCCATCTATATTATCCAACAAATCAATCTTTGATTCCATCAACTAATTATTCACTTCACATTTACGTGTTTGTTGCTAAAACATTAGAACTTCGAAGTTCNTTCGGTCGTAATGCTACGTATATTGACTTTTCTTCTATGATTAGAGATCTGAAACGTTTGGTGCTTTCATGTTCGTTCTTACCTAGAAATGATGTAACGGATAATTGTACATTATTCCAATGTAATGATGGAAGTAAATGTTTGTCGAAGTATCGATTATCAGATGGTGAAAACGATTGTTCCAATGGTGAGGATGAACATCAATCGAACACATGTGATCTCAATCATCAGTATCGATTTAAATGTGATAATCACATCAAATGTATCCATCCATCTTTGATACGTAATTACGAGGTAAGTATGTGCAGTTATAAAATAGTTCTGTTTTGGAAACTTTTCTCATAGGACGATTGCGGTGATGGAAGTGATGAAGAGTATTCGTATGCTTCACTTTGTTTTGATGCAATGACGGAAGAATGTTATGTTCATCGTCGTCAAGCACATCAGTTTAACATGACATTTAGTCAACTCTGTAATTACATTGTTGAACGCATTCCAGATGTGAATAATGACACAGATGAATCTAATTGTCCCATGTCACAATGGAATTGTTTTACTCAATATACAATATGTAATAAAGTCTGGAATTGTCCTGATGGTCATGATGAACTTAACTGTCCTTGGTCTCTTCTTTCTTTACGTTTCTGTGATTCAGTCAGTCATTTTTGTTTAAATATTCGAAACGGAAGTCAAACATGTTTATCTACAGAACAGGCTGGTGATGGTGTTGTTGATTGTGTTGGTTCAACAGATGAAAGAGAATATTGTCGTGTTCATTATCCGTATGAGTTTAAACGTCGTTATCGTTGTCAAAATTCGACAAAGTGTATTCTGATTAGTGAAATATGCGATTGTCATCAAGATTGTCCTTGGAATGACGATGAAACGATCGCGTGTCATTGGCTCAATAATGGAAAAGAAACGAATTGTGATCCTCATCGATTTCGATGTCGTGATGGCGAATATTCATCAACAGTTACGTTTAGATCACGATGCAATGATAATCTTTTGACGTGTAGTGATAAAGAACATCTTATCTTCTGTGATTTGAATGATCGATCAACTGGTCAACCATTCCAGACGAATGACATTCCAGAAGTTCCAAAGTCTAAAATCAATCAACTGACTCGGAGTTCGAGAAAAGAAACCGATCTTATTCATTGGTATTGTAATCGTGGAATCTATGTGTATTCACCCTCAAGTCCTCTCGGTTTCTATTGTATGTGTACAGAGTCTTATTATGGTCATCGATGTCAATTTCAACGCAAACGAATCGCTCTCATTCTTCAGTTACAAACAACCAGTTCATTCAACGTTGTTCTTCCATCCTTCAAAATTGTTCTTCTCCTCGTACGAAATCATACTTCAAATACGATTGTCTCACATGATCAACTAGTATTTACACCACATCGACATTGTCTACCGAAATATTTCATCCATCTATATTATCCAACAAATCAATCTTTGATTTCATCAACTAATTATTCACTTCACATTTACGTGTTTGTTGCTAAAACATTAGAACTTCGAAGTTCGTGGATATTTCCTGTTCCATTTCAGTTCTTACCTGTCAATCGTATAGCAAAACGATTACTCATACCTGATGAGAGTCTCACACTACAGACAATACAATTTAACACAACAAATTGTAGATCATGTTCTAACGTGTCTCGTTGTATTGGATACGATAGTGATCTTTATCAAGATATCTGTGTATGTCTACCTTATTTGAGTGGTCGTCGATGTTTCGTTCCGTTTGATCCGTGTGTTAATCAGAACTGCAGTGGACATGGAGAATGTTTACCAGTTGACTCACGTCTCTATGAAACTGATCAATTTATTTGTGTTTGTGAAAAAGAATGGTTTGGGAATGAATGTGAAGAATCAAAAGCTCGAATTCATGTGACATTTGCGTCGAATATTCCCAAACCATCGTCAAATATTGTATTTCTCCATGCGTTCGACGTGAATGAACACTTTGAGCCGATACATCTAACATATTTTCAGCGTCTTCGTTCAAACATATCCAATTATACCTTTCATTTAGATAACAACTATTTGCATAATTTAATTTTCATCCAGCTGTATGAACATAGTCATCAGTATGAATTTTATCTTCTACTGTCTCGGAAAATGGATAGTGTCGGATTAGAAGAGATCAATAGTGAAGTTGATTCATCTCATCGATGTCGATCAATCAATGAACTGTTACATCCAGATATTATTCGTCTACCAAGGTTACGACGTGTCAAATATTATCAACAAATATGTCGAAATAAGGAGAAGTTCATGTGTTTCTATGATGATAAACTCATGTGTTTGTGTGATGAACGAAATCAGAGTGATTGTTTCAATTTTGAACCTACATCATATGGATGTCTTGAAAATCGATGTAGTGGTCGAGGAATATGTGTTCAAGATCATAATCTTTGTCCACGACAATCGTTGTGTCTTTGTGAACCTTGTTCTTATGGAGAGAAGTGTCAGTTTTCTCGATCTGGTTATTCTCTTTCATTAGATGCCATCATTGGATCACATATTCGATTAGCAACATCGAAGACAATCATTTGGATTAGTGTGGTTTTGATCTGTTTATTCGTTATTATTGGAGTAATGATGAATATGTTAGGAGTTGGGACATTTCATCGACGAGCAACACAAAATGCTGGTTCTGGTTTTTATTTGTTAATTTCATCATATTTTGGATTGATGACGAGTCTTTCGTTGTCTGTGAAGTTAATTTTCTTATTTATTAATAATCAAGGAAATGTGTCCTGTGCATTGATTGAATTTATAATCAAATGGTCATTAACAAGTTGTGAATGTTTAAATGCATGTGTGGCGATTGAACGAACATTAGCGGTGAATCTTCGTACTAAATTCTCACGAATCAAAAGTAAAAGAGTCGCTAAACGGATTTCGATTGTTGTGCCTATGGTTGTCGGTGTTATCTGTTCACCTGAATTGATCTATCGTCGAATGGTTGTTGACACGACTGATGAAACCAATTGGTGTGTGTTCACATTGAATGCTGATCAACCGAAACTTCTAAACTTCTATTCAGCATTAAATATTTGCTTATTTTTGATCCCATTAACAATCAACTTGATATGTAGTGTTGGTATAATTGTCGGTACAGGTCTTCTGAAGCAAAAAACTATTACAAGCGCAGAAGACACCAGACGTTCGACTAATATTAATCTCAATTTTACTCGGATTAATAGGAATTTTCTGAATCAGATGAAAGGAAAGACCATCAAAGCACAGATTATTAAACACAAACATATATTGGTGGCTCCAATTCTTTTGGCTATATTTGCTGTACCTCGATTGGTATTTGCTTTTATATTCGTATGCAGTAAACTTGATCGATTTCCATTTCTTACTTTACCAAGTTATCTGATTGGTTTTTTACCGTCAATGTCTCTACTTTTTGCATTTATCCTACCATCTGATGTCTACCGAAGCGCAGCACTTGCTTTCATCAAATCTATTATACCTGCATATTTTCAAAATTATTTCTTTCTATTTCGTCAAAGATAATAGTGATTTGTTACTATTTGCCCAATAACAACATTATTTTTCAACTTTGTCTACATAAATCGTGAAGCTACAGAGTAGAAACTTTTCAATTTTCGTAAAAATTGTGTTCTGAAGAGCGTTACAAATCGGAAAGATTAAAAATAGGAATCCATCTTGTGCATATAGCAGGTGTTCTTCTAATTGCCTAGATTCACCCGTCTATACGAATCAGTTGAGAATATACTTAGTTCATGACTTTGAATATTTTTTCATCACATTATACAGCGAATAATTATTCATTTTGAAACACACAACACGGACGTTATGGTAGGACTTGGTTAGTCCAGGATGACACGGAGGAAGTGATTGAAGGCGAAGCTTAAGAGATTGTTTAAGATGAGAGTGTGAACGATCTAATCCAGTATTGTTTATGTGATACTTGAGGACGAATAATCGTGTAGAACTGAAACGTTTATTTCAACAAAGGAAAGTACCGATAAAAGCCTTCTGAGTGGACAGCTTGTTCAAAGAAATCAATGTAATTTAACTGAGCACAATTTCGTCGAGTTGCATCACGTGTGAAATGTTCAGTAACAATTACCAAATGTTCATAAGATATTGTTAAATGAGATAATCGAAGTAATCGAATGTTTGTGTCAACTAAGAATTGTTCCGAATAATCTAAATGACTAATTAGAAGTGTCAATTTATTAAGATATGGAAATTCAATGATTGTTGATTGATTGGAATCCGTGTTTTTTTGTGCGTTGCTATTAACAATGTATAACCTAGCAAGATATGGAAAAGATTGAGAAATTTTCATGAAAAATTGATGTTCGAATGAATAATTCGTATCTAGTAATGTCAACGATCGAACGTTTGGAATGAAACCCTCTGAAAAATGACTACTGATTCCAAGAGTTTCATTCATTGTATATGGAAGAGAAAAGATATGACATTTTACATCTCCATATAGATTATAATCGATATAAGATATAACTTGACCGTATCTTGAATCACCACTGAATGACGCTTGGATTTCAACGTTCGTTTGTTCATTTGATTGAATGAAAGTTTCGATCTCGAAATCAAATCGTTGTAATCGTGTCATGTAAGAAAAGATTTTATCTTTAAAATGAAAACCATCAAGAAATGTCGTAGTTCGATCGACAGACAAGTTTAGCATCAATTTTTCAAGAGAAATCATTCGTTGCAGAAGCGGTAGAATAGAACTATCGTATGCTGATGTTGTTTTCGATGACGACAATGAAAAACAACGAAGATTATGCAATACCTTCAAGTTCAAGTTAAATAATATATTTTTCTCTTGAAAGAATTTTACCTTGTTGTCAATAACCAGTGTTGAGGGTTGAATTTTGTAAATACGAATAATAAATTCACGCAGATAATTCAGTCGACTACCAAGAAGACGGAAACAATCATCCAATGTATCAACATCGATCGATAAATTCACAATATTTCGTAGAAACGAGCTCGACTGACATGACTCATCAATGGTTAAATGTGCATATCGCCGCCAAAACGGATGACAAGTAAAAGTGAAATCAGTTAATTGTGGAAATATGAAAGAAACCAGTGCATACAGATTCTCATTCTCGGTAACAAGTAAAAGTTTCAATTTCGCATCATCTATTGAGATCTTCAAACATGTTACTTTTTGTTTGAAAAGGTCCAGAAATGGTGATTGATCTGAATCAGATCTATGTCAATAGAATTGAATAAGGCTGTATCCTTACCTGTAAAATAACGTCTTGTTGACTGATGACCAAAATTGACGAGAATCAGTTTGTACAGATGAGGATATTGACCTGCGGAAAGAATACGTTCCATCGAATGTGGTTCAAGGGTTAAACATTCGATATTTTCTTGTATTTCTGGTAGAAAATAAGAGCAAAGTTGATTCAATAGAGGATCGGGTAATGAACAATATTTCTGATTCAAATTTTTATCAATAAGTTCAATAGAACGAGTATAATTGACGTCCCTGATTAATTTATCGAATCTTCTATTAACGCCAATAAAGGAACCTAACAACTCAACAGTAGAAAGTTTATTCCAAATGAAAATTATCAGTTCATCAGGTAGATCTTCCAGACATGCCATTCTAAATGATTCAAATTTGTTTAACAGTGACGACTTTTATACAAACTATATGTGAAGGAAAGTATCAACGATTTAGCAACAGACGGACTGGAAAGAATAACATATTTATATCGGTCGAAAGGTCATGCAATGAACTGGTCTGGGAAGAGAAAGTATCGCCGTCAGTAATTTTCGCTTGGTCACACATATATTCAGACCACCTCTGCATGTGTAGCCATTGAACGAACATTAGCGGTGAATCTTCGTACTAAATTCTCACGAACCAAAAGTAAAAGAGTCGCTAAACGGATTTCGATTGTTGTGCCTATGGTTGTCGGTGTTATCTGTTCACCTGAATTGATCTATCGTCGAATGGTTGTTGACACGACTGATGAAACTAATTGGTGTGTGTTCACATTGAATGCTGATCAACCGAATATCTCGGGTTTGTATTCAGCATCAAGCATTTGCTTGTTCTTAATTCCATTCAACTTAGTGTGTAGTATTATGATTATCATTGTTATAGGTCAAATGATACAAAAAACTGTTGTGAAAGTGGACAGTATCGGGCAAGCGTCCTCTATTAATCTTTCTCTTACTCCGATGAATACGAATTTTATGTCAAAACTGGCAGAAAACGGTATCATAGTACAGATTGCTAAACACAAGCATTTATTGGTGGCTCCAATTCTTTTAGCTATATTTGCTGTACCTCGATTAGTATTTGCTTTTGTATTCGTATGCAGTAAACTCGATCGATTTCCATTTCTTACTTTACCAAGTTACCTGATTGGGTTTTTACCGTCAATGTCTCTATTTTTTGCATTAATCTCGCCATCTAAAGTTTATCGAGACGCTTGTCTTACTTTTATAAAGTTATTCATACATGGATGTGTTCGAAATTGAATTTTTCGATTTCAGCACAGATCTTAGCTGATTTTATTTACTTGTGCACAGAAATTATATCATCAATTATTTTTCTTTTCTCATAGTCAGTTACGAAATTTACTATCATACGTCTGTGTATACTGACTAAGCCAGTTGACTCAGACAGAGTACATATGGAAAACGATCATCGTCTGTATTGTACAATTTGACAATATGTAACGAATTTAGCTCCATTAATAAATGAATATCCTCATATGTATATTTTGTCGATAATTCTGTTTGTATTGCATCATAGGGTTGTAATTCCATGACGAACCCGCGTTGATCCGTTACTGTTTGTTGTTTTGTGCTAAGTAACCAACTTTCCATCTGTCGATATAATGGATTATACACAGGATAATGTTGATAGTTAACAAGATCAAAATTAAAATTCAGCTCACGATTGAGACGAAGAAGAAGATTATAATTGAAAGCAGCGGTGATGCCTTTTGAATCACTATATGCTCGAATCATCGTGTTTGTATCCTTACACATGTCAAATGCACATATAAACCAATCACCAATTTGTAAATTTCTACGAATCGAACGAATGAATTGCATAACAGGTGCATCATCACCATATTTTGTGTGACTGGGCCCATAAGATGCGAAATTACCAATAGTACTACCCATTAACATCACTGCTTTGATGTCCATAGCATTTGTTTCTAGTTTAGTGTACATATCATCAAATGTTGAGCAAATTGGTTTGATATGTTCTTCAACAGTCTTTTCGCCCATTTTATTCTTGGACAATTGAATAAGAGAATCAATCGCATGTTGAGATATATCAACTGGATGGTAGACCGTCGATATTTCTGATGAAGCAAGCCAAGGTGTTAACCATGCTTCGACTTTTGCACCATCACCACAGCCAAGCTCGATGAAATGAATCGAGGGCGACGTTCGAGAAGACGAATCACAATGGTGAAGAATAGTTGACTTGATATCGTCCATTTGTTGTCGAAGTAGTTGCAATTCTTGATTAAATAAATAATATTCTTCTGATTGGGTAATTTGAGTATATAGAGCAGAGCCTTGCGCATCGTAAAAGTATTTCGACGAAATCCGATGATGATCTTTGTTGCTTAAATCTGCAACGATTGCTTGGCGATCCACTTCCGTAAGTGAATCGTCCGTATGCTCCCAATGTTTGACACATCGAAACGTAGCGAACATGTATCGATACGTATCTTGATACCAATTACGAAATGACCTTCGAATGAGTGTTAAGTCGGTTGCATAGGAGCCACCGAGCAGCACGAAATGACGATTGTCAAAAAAGTCAGCTGAATATTCAGGATATGTTGGCAGAGGAGCAAAGCAATCCGATAAAGGTTGGAAGACGCTTGCTGTCCATTCAAATGCAGAACCTTGCCATTGCAACTGATTATCACTTGATGATTTGACAGGCATTGTATGAAGATGACGAAAGTTAACGTTACATTCATCATCCATTAGACCAATATTTATAGAGTCGGACCAATCCCACATTGCATAGATCCACTCCGATTCTGTAGGTAATTCAATTGTTTCTCCACATTTCTTTGACAACCATCGACAGTATGCTTTTGCTTCGATTTGGCTCAATATAACTGGATGGTCGAGTAGAAATTCTACAGGAATATTTCGTTGTAGAACAAAGTTTACTTGGTAGGAATTGTCCGTTCTAGTCCAGGTTGCCGGATGTTCTATTTTCGATGTTTTAATCCATTCAAAGATCGCCTCATCCCACCAATCGCCAGTTGCGTAACCGTCATCGAGTATGAATTGAAGAAAATCTCCATTTCGAACAGGATGCGATTGCATTTGGAAAGGAGGCAGGTAACACGCTTTACGAGGAAATTCATTATCCCAACCAAACGAGAATGTGGACGACTTGTCACAACACGGCTTACCTAATGAAGTGTGTCCGCCTGGTAATTTTACCCACTTATTTTCTGATAGTGAAGAAATAGCTGGCATTTGACGAAGTTGAAGTTCAACAATTTCATCTACTCGAAAACTTTCTATCGGCAATTGAACAAACAGATACATCAAAGTTTCTTGATGTAGCATCTCGTGTTCTGCAGCGATATTCAGTACATTGAGCGTATGTAAATCGTTGAGATCAAGATTACCATCGGTTAGAACGTGAACAATTTGTTTTCGAACATTTTGTTTATATTCAACTACACTTGATACTGTAAATGAACGCCAATACTGTTCTTCTTCTTTAACATCTGTTGAGAACCGACTGGAATGAGTGTGTTCAACAATACCTGTTTGCACATTTGGATCGACTCCACGCACAAAGACTTCATCATAGATTGGATCAAGAACATCGTCAACGTCGTTCAGATGACGAAATTGCGTCCAACTAAAACATGGTAGGTGGCCAAGATAAAATATCAGCGGCAATCGAAGTTTGACTGGCTGTCGATAGTAATCGTCCGATGAGCGAAGTAATGAAAAAAGTCGATCGCTTCTATTCCATATATTATCGAACTTGTTCGTCCAGTAATTAACGTTAGATTGCATTTTGTTTTACAACACAGTAGGCTACCTTTAATATATATTTGCACACCCTTTTATATTCCTTTAACCCAGCAAAACAAAAATGTACTTCGTTCGAGCACATTTTATAAGTGTGTCAATCTCTCTGACGTGCACTATTTACGTGATATCACTTTTCTTATATAACAGATTTGATATGGTGTTTTTTCACCTTCTCTTCTGTATGGAAGAGTATATAAAGGTGTATGTTGTATCAGAACGATGCGATTTATGAGAAAGAAATAGATGTACGCGTAGTTCCATCAGCGCATACATCTCTTCCATCTGAAATCAACACAGCAAGGATCACTGCAGACGTAAACTAACATATTATTCATCAATATATGTTTTATGTTTATCATTACAATAGATTATACTTATCACTTTTGTTTCTGAAAGACATAGTAACAAAGGATGCAAAAAAAAACATTTTCTTTCTTTCTTCATTGATTGCATCTTTTTGAAGCACGTAATAGGCACAAAAAGTAGGACACTAGTATAACAGGTAATATAGCCGAACAGACTATAAAAAACGTATGAACTTGTCGGTTAATTGATGTAATAGTAAATGTGTGCGCTGCACAAGTTATAGTACACCATTGCCTTCTTTTATACGACCCATAATCTATACAATTAACAAGATTTGAGAATAGTCAGTGGTATGATGAGATTACGGCTGCTATAACCACCACCACCACCACCACCACCACCACCACCACAGCTGTTATTCATTAAGACTGATGCTGGTCTAACGTCAAGACCACCGCCATCTTGCCTAGTTAAAAATATTACACGAATTGAACGTTGCAACGCAAATTTCAAATCGCGAGTCTATTGTTATATGATTCATCTGCATCTTAAAATGCTGAAGACTAATGTTTACTTAGGTGTGGTGTTGAATGAATTCATAAATTTCCTAGATGTTAAAATACCATTACACCGGGTATCGATAGCCAAACGTCACGATGCCCTGATACTGATTAGCGAAAGAACAACGGTATGGACACCAGCTCGATGCACAAACGAGGTGAGGTTGTAACTAAGGGTGTGGGTGTGCATGACGGTGGTGGCTGAACACACCAAATCCACTCTTATTCATCAGCTTTCCAGGATACACCGACTCAACTGCATATGGTAACGGACTGAATTGTCCGCTTTTGGATGAATACCGGGCGTAACGGGATTATGACATCACTCATAAATTTCGTTTAAACAGAACTGTGATTTTGTAAGCACACTGATACATTCAAATGTGTAAATGGGGATACAAACACTATGATCGTTCTATTTAGTAGATATTCATTACTATAATTGTCTATATTGAACAAAGACAATGATTGAAATCAGTTCCTTGTTTCCTGAGTGGTTTTACATGATTAGAAATTCGATTTATGTTTGTTTAGTTCGAACGTCAAATGAATGAAATGATTCGTTTACGTACTGATTATTATCAGAATGAACAAATACGAATTCGAGTCAAGAGCGACTGAACAAAATCCGACCAACTTTTCGAACATTCTCGTCTTCGTAGTTTAAGCGGTAATTATATCAATCGTCGACAAGATATTTTGATGGCAAAATAATAGAGGGGAAAGTGTTCGTGTATAGTAGTATAAATCTGTCTTTTATTTACTTCACTAAGTAAGTAAAACAGCAAGAATGTACAGTGATAAGAAGAAAAAAAAGCAGCGTCACGAAATCATGAAATATACTGCTTCTGCTGGAAGTTATTTTTTCTTCGCAACAAGAAGCGATAGACCCTGAAGGTAGTCCATGAGATCGATCTGTTTCTTCTTGAACCGATCTGCAAGAGTTTCGAGGCATTCTTGCATACGACATGTGCGTTGCCCATACACCTTCTTTTTTCCCATGCGCACGTGCTGAACGTGTTGATTCAGGTGAACTTCTTCTTCTTCTTGGAGGACTCGAATAAAATGCCACATGCTGGGATGTCTCTTATCAATGCGATGAGAAAATCTGTTGTGATAGCCTAAGTAAAAGATCTTCGAGTGTAATGAATACAGATGAAAGAAAGAGTCTTACCCTCAGCGTTATTGTTCGTCCGCGTTTTGAGATCAAACACGTTCCATAAATCGATAGATGTGGTTTTCATCCAGAAAGTTTCGAAGTACTCGAACAATTCATCCAGCGACTCAGGATGATTATCGGCAAGCGCTTGAAATGCAGGCTCCACTTTGTTCAATGGCAAAAGAGCGAGTGCCATTAATTGTTGGCAGATAAAGCGAGCTTCTTCATCATCTTTGTAGACTGTTGACAATCCAAGCGTCTGTATTTTACGATGAATACTCTGTGTGTAATGGAAGTAGCAGCCGATATGTCTAGACATCGGGAACTGCAGGAAATCGAAAGCAAAAAAGTAGATATTAAGATAAAATGAGGTAGAAAACATCGGTGTGAAGCTAGCACCATCGAGCTAGCACCATCAAACTAAGGATTTTCTGAAAACGAATTCCGGTCGATAAAACCGAGTGTATTCGATGCAGAATTTAATTCTGAGTCCAATGGTGACATTTNTTAAAAATAGGAATTCATCTTGTGCATGTAGCAGGTGTTCTTCTAATTGCCTAGATTCACTCGTCTATACGAATCAGTTGAGAATATACTTTTTCATCACATTATACAGCGAATAATTATTCATTTTGAAACACACAACACGGACGTTATGGTAGGACTTGGTTAGTCCAGGATGACACGGAGGAAGTGATTGAAGGCGAAGCTTAAGAGATTGTCTAAGATGAGAGTGTGAACGATCTAATCTAGTATTGTTTATGTGATACTTGAGGACGAATAATCGTGTAGAACTGAAACGTTTATTTCAACAAAGGAAAGTACCGATAAAAGTCTTCTGAGTGGACAGCTTGTTCAAAGAAATGAATGTAATTTAACTGAGCACAATTTCGTCGAGTTGCATCCCGTGTGAAATGTTCAGTAACAATTACCAAATGTTCATAAGATATTGTTAAATGAGATAATCGAAGTAATCGAATGTTTGTGTCAACTAAGAATTGTTCCGAATAATCTAAATGGCTAATTAGAAGTGTCAATTTATTAAGATATGGAAATTCAATGATTATTAATTGATTGGAATCCGTGTGTTTTTGTGCGTTGCTATTAACAATGCATAACTCAGCAAGATATGGAAAAGATTGAGAAATTTTCATGAAAAATTGATGTTCGAATGAATAATTCGTATCTATTAATGTCAACGATCGAACGTTTGGAATGAAACCCTCTGAAAAATGACTACTGATTGCAAGGGTTTCATTCATTGTATATGGAAGAGAAAAGATATGACATTTTACATTTCCATATGGCTTATAATTGATATAAGATATAACTTGACCGTATCTTGAATCATCACTGAATGACGTTTGGATTTCAACGTTCGTTTGTTCATTTGATTGAATGGAAGTTTCGATCTCAAAATCAAATCGTTGTAATCGTGTCATGTAAGAAAAGATTTTATCTTTGAAATGAAAACCATCAAGAAATGTCGTAGTTCGATTGATAGACAAGTTTAGCATCAATTTTTCAAGAGAAATCATTCGTTGCAGAAGCGGTAGAATAGAACTATCATATGCTGATGTTGTTTTCGATGAAGACAATGAAAAACAACGAAGATTATGCAATACCTTCAAGTTCAAGTGAAATAATATAGTTTTTTCTTGAGAGAATTTTACCTTGTTGTCAATAACCAGTGTTGAGGGTTGAATTTTGTAAATACGAATAATAAATTCACGTAGATAATTCAGTCGACCACCAAGAAGACGGAAACAATCATCCAATGTGTCAACATCGATCGATAAATTCACAATATTTCGTAGAAACGAGCTCGACTGACATGACTCATCAATGGTTAAATGTGCATATCGCCGCCAAAACGGATGACAAGTAAAAGTGAAATCAGTTAATTGTGGAAATATGAAAGAAATCAGTGCATACAGATTCTCATTCTCGGTAACAAGTAAAAGTTTCAATTTCGCATCATCTATTGAGATCTTCAAACATGTTACTTTTTGTTTGAAAAGGTTCAGAAATGATGATTGATCTGAATCAGATCGATGTCAATAGAATCGAATAAAGATGTATCCTTACCTGTAAAATAACGTCTTGTTGACTGATGACCAAAATTGACGAGAATCAGTTTGTACAGATGAGGATACTGACCTGCGGAAAGAATACGTTCCATCGAATATGGTTCAAGAGTTAAACATTCGATATTTTCTTGTATTTCTGGTAGAAAACAAGAGCAAAGTTTATTCAATAGAGGATCGGGTAATGAACAATATTTCTGATTCGAATTTTTATCAATAAGTTCAATAGAACGAGTATAATTGACGTCCCAGATTAATTTATCGAATCTTCTATTAACACCAATAAAGGAACCCAATAAATCAACAGTAGAAAGTTTATTCCAAATGAAAATTATCAGTTCGTCAGGTAGATCTTCCAGACATGCCATTCTCAATGATTCAAATTTGTTTAACAGTGACGACTTTTATACAAACTATATGCGAAGGAAAGCATCAATGATTTAGCAACAAACGACGGATTGGAAAGAATAACATATTTACATCGGTCGAAAGGTCATGCAATGAACTGATTTAATAAGAAAAAGTATCGTCGTCCGTGATTCTCGCTTTGTCACACATATATTCAGATCTCCTATGCATGTGTAGCCATTGAACGAACGTTAGCTGTGAATCTTCGTACTAAATTCTCACGAATCAAAAGTAAAAGAGTCGCTAAATGGATTTCGATTGTTGTGCCTATGATTGTCAGTGTTATCTGTTCACCTGAATTGATCTATCGTCGAATGATTATTGATACGACTGATGAAACCAATTGGTGTGTGTTCACATTGAATGCTGATCAACCGAATATTTCGGCTTTGTATTCAGCGTCAAGCATATGCTTATTNAACGTTTTCCGGTGAATGAAAATGTCACCATTGGACTCAGAATTAAATTCTGCATCGAATACACTCGGTTTTATCGACCGGAATTCGTTTTCAGAAAATCCTTAGTTTGATGGTGCTAGCTTCACACCGATGTAGAAAACATACATGCTGTTGCACAGCCTTGATCAAGCCACTCTCGAAGGCGCTCGTGATCATTTCTGGTTCGAAAGACATGTCTAAATCTGTGGCTTGCTCGTCAAGCGTCTCGAATAGGTGTTTGTAGACGGTAGCAGATCGGCCAGGAAGTAGAGCGAGGACACAGGGCACAACTAGAAATTTAAAAAATCACGTATACATAAATTAGCGAATGGAATGAGAACTCACCATGTTCGTGGTGAACGCCATGAATAATAAAGACCTGGTCGAAAAATGGTGGACAGACCGAAAAAGTGCCATCGATAAAGATATGTTTCGACTTAAATAGGATGACCAGCTGTAATTCGTTTGCGAATGCCAACATTCTCTTGCCGCGGATCAGTGTATCGATGAGAAGAAACGGTTTGCCGGCGAGAGTTTCACCGTATCTGTCAGGAATGTCAAAATCACGCGAAGTGGGAAGAGCTGGTGTTGTTTGTCGACGAAGACGAGATAGAGACGGCTCTAAACATTGAGTCAAATGAAAGATAAACACAGAGTTTAGAAGGAGATACTCACGACTGTCGTCAGCAGAAGGGTGGGCTCAGCCTACCCTAAAGGTATCTGAGCCCACCCTAGTGAGAATTCCTGGCGCAGCCGCTAGATGTATCCATTGAACAAAACCACACGTATGCCTTTTGTGGTCACACCAAATTTAATAATAGTTGTGCTAGTTGGCACGATGAAGAAAGAAATGAAGAAGTGCTAAATATAACAAGATGAGTTGATTAACTGACGCTATACCGATAAATGAGCAGAACTTGAGCCAATTAGTAGCAAAATGTTTGAAATTTAGAACAAAGGAAGTTCTAATGATCTCTTTTTCATCACGTTGCAAAACCAGAACATGTTTCATCAAAATTAGGCAGTATAAAATTAGATTATGAGCTTAGTTTTATTGATAAAGTAAATATACGAGCAGGAGAATAAAAGCTAATACAATAATATTAAATCACGTACAAAAAGCTGATTTTCGTCGAAATGAATAGTCGACGAAGTATCTGTCAACAAATTGTTTAGTCAATGAAACGTCTGTCGACAAAAATCTGTTGACAAAATGCTGTCGACGATTCATGTGCAATTCGTTTAAGCAGTAATGGATTATACGATTACATCTACCTCCTTTTATTGCCACAGGTAAGCGAAGAGAAGTGTACCCGTGTGCGAAGCATATGAAAGGTCAGATGTAAAAGAAAAAGCAATTTTTAGATGCTCTCCAAATTCTGTTTTATATGGAAAATGCAGAAAAGTATTTATACACGCACATTTTTTAGTAATTTCCGTATTTTTTAGCTAAAATGTACTGCAGAAGTGTTTAAAAATGGTGTTTGTCCACTCTTTTCTAGATAAATACTCCTCCTCGCGCATCATCTTCTTCTCCAAATAAATACCAAATCAGTACAAATGCAGGCTGTCTTTCATTTTACTTACAAACTGTTCTCCTCCTGTTGTCTTTCTACGGACTACTCTTCAGAGTTTTTGCAAAAATCAAAATTTCTTTTGTTGAAAAAAAACACACACAATGTTTATTGACTACTTTTTCTTTGTTTTCCTTTTAATCGTTACTTTCTGGGCGTATAGAACTCCGAGATCATGAATCAATTCATCAAGTGTCATTAGTGTTTTTTCTTCTGCACAATACCTAAGCTAGAAAAAGTACAAAAAACGCCTTGCCATCTCAATGAGATAAACATAAAGCACTTTTACTATAAATTCTACTGAAAAAAATCTCAACAAAATTATTTGTTACTTTTCATCGCATCATGCCTACTCTCTCTAAAACGAACAAGGGTTCGTATCCTCGATGGTCCGGACCCGTGGTCACAGTACGTATTCTTACATTGATTTCTGTTAACAATCGTATTTACTTATCTATCTGTCTGTTGCTTAGAACCAGTTACCATGGACTAATAGAACAACTCAATNTCGTATATGTGATTAGGAGTCACTTCGTTTTAGTTGTACCGTGCGTAATCGCCCTTTTACCTGGTCGATCAGCAACTATCTACAAGCGTCTGTTTCAACTACTCGACCAGGAAGCTGCAGATCTTCACATGACATTCGAACCGAAACTCATCACAAGTGACTTTGAATCTGGATTGATCAAAGCTGTAAAACATCATGTATGTCTTTCCTCTCATTCTGACGAGACTATGCAAATGAACGATTCTCACTTTTTCAGTTTCCGATGTCGCGACATGTGGGGCGTTTTTTTCATTTTACCCAAAGCGTGCATCGGAAGATACAGCAACTTGGACTGTCTGTTGAATATAAAAATAATGAAGAAACGCGATCCCTCTGTCAACAACTCATGGCACTCGGTCTTCTCCCTCGTGGCAAAGTGTTGCCTGCATTCGAACATCTCACCGAAGCCCAGCTTGAATCACTCGAAGACGTGTTCGACTATTTCGAAGATTTCTGGACGGAAACAACGCTCATTGATTTATGGAACGTCTCCGATTTGAAAATTAGAACGAATAATAATGCTGAAGGTAAATAAGTTCTTCCCTTCACAATCTCTGTCGGTAATTTGTGCTTTACCTAGGGTGGCATAAAGGATTCGCTCACCGCATCGATAAGAAACACTCCAATATTTGGCACTTCACCCGCATTTTGCAAGAAGAAAGAAATTGATCTCGTCGACTACCTCGAGGGTCTCTCTCTTTTGATCGCGAAGAAAAAGTAGAAAAGATTCAAAGTATTACTTTTGAATCAAGGCAAAAGTTTTTGTCTAGTTCGTTGTCTGCACCATATGTTGATAATGTATCTGTGATTTGTGTAAATTAATGAAATCGTTCTTGCTTATAATTTGATGTACTCGATTGAAGAAAGCGTTGTTCCACTAGGCTAAATCTTGTTTCATTCAGGAGATGACATTGTCGTTTTGTCGAAAAGGCTTACACATCCTCTCTTCGCCCACACGCCTGTGTTTCCTCGTAGTGAGATTAGCTGTAGGACTTGATATGAATTACCCAACTCATAGTTCAAGCTTTGTCGAACGACTTGAATTCATCAAGAAGAGGTTCAAATTCGATATTTCGTTGCAAGAATGCTTTGAGTTGTAAGTAATGGTCATTATCCTAAAACTTTTCCGGTTGAGTATCTGTCGACAAAGAACCTGTCGACTAAGTGCTTGTCGATGAAGTTTCGTCGACGAATGAGATAACTACCGATTATATCTAGGGCATCTAGGAAGTTGACCGATGAACGAAAAAAACGTATATCTTTACTAGAAAATGAGTTGATGCATTTTTAACGAGAGGCACTGAATTTGTCCTCATATTAACAAAACTGACTTTTCTCAATGACAAAGACATGAGTCGAACCGCTAAAAAGTAGTTTCCTAGAATCAGTTTTTGATGCTGAATCAGGAGAAGAAACCTCCAAAGGTATAACATATTTTTTTAAAACCCTACTGTCAAATTTCGAGTGAAAATTCTGAATTTCGAAAGCCTCGGTTTTTGTAGTATTTGAAGATTTCTCCTTATGGAAGACGACTTTCTTTGTCACTCAATTATACATATTCGGATTCAGCGCATCAAACTGCATCATCTTACAATAAAAAATCAACAAAAAAAATTCGCTCCACTTTTGCCTGTCGCCAATCTTACAAAATGTTCTCCTTCCAGTGTCTTTCTACAGACTACTCTTCAGAGTTTTTGCAACAACAAAAATTTCTTTTATCGAAAAAAAAACGCATACATTGTTTACTGACTACTTTTTCTTTGTTTTTGTTTTACTTGTTACTGCCTTGTCGTATAGAACTCCGACATCATGAATTAATTCATCGAGTGGCATTAGTGTTTTTTCTTCTGCACAATACCTAAGCTAGAAAAAGTACAAAAAACATCTCGCCAACTCAATGAGATAAAAGTAAAGCGCTTTTACTTTAAATTATACTGAAAAAATTCTTAACAGAGTTACTTGCTACTTCTCATCGCATCATGCCTACTCTCTCTAAAACGAGCAAGGGTTCATATCCTCGATGGTCCGGACCCGTGGTCACAGTACGTATTCTTACATTGATTTCTGTTAACAATCGTATTTACTTATCTATCTGTCTGTTGCTTAGAACCAGTTACCATGGACTAATAGAACAACTCAATTGGATACCCTACCGAGTATTCTAGAGGAAGATCGTACATTATGTAAACGAAAAAAAGCTATAGCAATCGGTTTTATCCTGTGTGTACTGCTTGGCCTTGCTATCGGAGTACCTTTCATAGTGGAAACGATAAACTTAACAACAACATCGACTACAACAAGTTCTACAAGTACAACTAGTACTACAAGCACCACGAGCAGTTCAAGTTCTACAAGTAGTACTAGTACTACAAGCACCACAAGCAGCTCAAGTTCTACAAGTAGTACTAGTACTACAAGCAGCTCAAGTTCTACAAGTACCACTAGTACTACAAGCACCACAAGCAGTTCAAGTTCTACAAGTAGTACTAGCACGACAAGTAGGTGATAGAAAATAGCGGTACTGTGTGTTTTAATTGTCTCGTTTTTAGGTATTTTATGTTTAAATGGGTACGTCTTTTATCTATAGATGAAAAAACACTCCTTCCTAACTCTGTTTTTCAGAGGTACCCCACTTTGGAACGGTACATGTGCATGTAAGAATTATACCACGGGTACTCATTGTGAAACGCCACTTTGCCTTGTCGCTGGCTCCCTATCCACGGCCTGCTCAAACAACGGTACCTGTNCGAAAACTACCATGATCGATTCAACTAGATACAATATCAAATACAGTTTTTGATATTTTACTGTGCTAAAGAACATTTACTGAACTCGTGCGCTCTATGGCATCGAAATTACCTTACACGGCGATTCCAATTGATGATTCATTTATTAAAATGATACCGAATCAAGCCACAAAATTAATCCAAGAAATTCAAAAAGATATTGCAAACGAAAAAGAAATATCTGATCGGACTTATCAAGCATGTGATGCAATTCTTCAAAGTATTCAAAAAGAATATCTCCGTATACAAATTGAATTCGTTGAAGAAACACAAATACTTATTACAAAAGCTTTACTAGAACCAAATAAAAAATTCCATGAAACTTGGTTGCAATTTTTCGAGATATTTGCAGGAAGATGTCATCAAATAACTGGGCCGATTCTTCAAGTGTTGAACTCCGTGGCTTCGGAGAGCAAACGCCTACAGGACAAATATCGTTTATTGTTAGCTGGTGCCACAGCTTTCTCAGTTGTCTCTACAGTATTTATTGGTGGACTGATACTGCATTTTTTGCCAGAAGCTTGGTGTTGTTTTACACTTACGGCTAGTGGACTTTCTTTAGCAGCAGCTGGAGCACTTTCAGCAGCTGGTCTAGCTATTGCGTGTGTCATTGGAGCAATGAACATATCAGCAATACGTGCTGTATATGATAGATGTACAAGCGAGTTACAAACATTATTAACTAAATACCTCCCATGTTTATTTAATGTGCATAAAAACACGGTTACCTCAACAGAATTGCAGCAAGCTATCAAAGGCTCGATCGATACATTCAAGGTCAAAGAAGATGTCTGGATTAATATTGATACATTGGAAATGTTGAAACGGTCAACAGTTCGCGAACTCGATGCTTTAAAGCAAAAAGCAAACCCATAAACAGACACGTTGTCGTTATTTTTCCTTTTTAATCAAGACTTATATTTATTTTTTATACGAAATTTAAAACAAGCTTTGAAAGTTAAGGATCTACTTTAATTCCTTTCCAAACTAAGTTTGCAATGGTGGTTAATTTCTGCGGTATCACCATTAATTCATGTTCATGTCCGTTCTCTTGACATTTTGTGCATAAATTATAATTATCACACGCCGAACAATGATACCGTTGCCCGATCAATGGTTTCATTTGACATCCCTGACAAGAAACACCGAGCCACTCATAGTTTTCACCCGATTTCAGTCCACCGTTTAACCAATATCGAATAGCATCAGCATTCTGTTCGTAGATACCACCTACACCATCAGTACTGATTACTTTTCCATCAGCAGATAGCACAACTAGAGTTGGAATACCATCAACATTGAGCTTTTCACTGAGTTTCTTCTCGCGATCACGTTCTGAAAATATACACATGAAGGATTATAAAAAAAAACAATCGATATAATTCGATAATTACCTGAATATGGCAAAGCTTTCCACGGCATTGAACTGAAATATTCATTGAAGGCGATTTCATTCTCGTCCGACGAAAGAAAAACGATATCGAATCGATCATGTAATTCCGATTGAACTTCTTTGTAATGCTTCGCCAAAATCGGAGTTAAATGTTGACAAGGTCCACACCAATGAGCTCTTGAAAAGAAAATATTTGTGAAAAGAAGGATGAGGCTGATAATTACTCACGAAAAATAAATTGCAACAACTTTGTTATCTAAATCACTCGTCGGCACCTGACGATAAGGTTCATTCGATTCATTGTTCGGATTGACTTCGAGTAAATATTCTCCTAAGAGATCTTTTAGATCAATAGCCATTCTTCGTATAAACAACACCGAAAACGTGAAACGTTACTTCTTTATATAGACTTCGATGCAGAACAAAAAAAAACAAGCAGCGCCTACATTCGTGTTCCGCGGTGATTCATCTCAAACTGCGTCTTTTCCCTCTCATACATGACTCATTCGGTTAATGTATAGACCAATTCAAAACAGACATGATTCATCTCTATTTTCTTTTTATTCACAAAATAATTACACATTGCTAGCATTTAAGAAGGATATGCAACTAATCGAAGAACACTAGGCAAAGTTTTTGATCGTGGTTGTATTTGTAAAATAGTCCATAGATCGTTTCTGTAATTAACGCGAAGACGATTATATATGAAATCATATGGCATATAAAAATAACCATTATCAGCCTAAAAAACGAATTTCGAAAAAAAAAAATAAATAAATTTTACAGTTTTACTTACCCAATGTGGTCCCCATGAGTTTCTTGCGATGAAATGTCGCGATCGTCGATCGTAACCGACAAGAACAACCGTATGAAAAGCATCTCTATCGATCAGTCGATCATCGAGGAGATGCTCTACTAAAAAACCATTATTCATTTGAATGTTCATCGCAGTGTCTCCATCAAGCACAATATCAATAGGTACTAATATACCGTTATGCAAACATGTTTCAATAGAAAGAATATCAATAGGAACACGAAGCAAAGTAACTGTGTAATTCATGGCTTCCTCATAAGCATCATAAGTGGGCTGAAGATTTAGAAATTGCATATCGTATGGCCAACGGTGTTCTTTACAAACACCGTAGTCTCTTATAGCTAAGGCAATGTCTTTTTGAGTGACACCGTAATCTGTAATTAACGGTGCAAATTGTGTCCTTATTTGACCATTGTAGTTTATAAATAAACGAGATACGTCAACATGATAACCCGTCGTACGTTGAATAAGATATTCGTAGATACTTGCAAATGCATTGGCAGAACTGAAGGAAAAGATAAAGTGATCACAGTAGATCAGGAAATCAAGATTTACCAAGTGTTCATATCTTGTTGATATTTCACCGGTGCCATGTATGGCCGTAGGTCAACTTGAGACGATAATGGACTAAACGGAAATGAATAGAATTGTTGTGAATATCGATATTCATCTGGCACATGAGTAGGATATTCGTCTGTATATATCATATAAGTATTCCACATGATTTTTGATACGTTTGAGACTGAATGGAAAGATGAGAAAGTACGTATTCCTTTTTATAGCACTTCGAAAATAACAAGGTAGATGTTAGCCATGATTTCTTTTTCTTATTTGACTTTTTCAAGTTGAAAACAAGGAAATGAATGTGATGCATGTCGCAATGACGTGAATTGATTGCTCACTAATTTCTGACATATTTTCTTTTTCACCTTTAATTAAAACATACACACAGACAAGAGAAAACAAAATGATTTCTGTGGTTTCCCTTCTTCCGTTCTTCGGAAACAGCTTCTCATGTATCACAGGCAAAAAACACACATTCGTAGTTTACACAGGTTGTTTTGTCATGATATTTTATTGTCAAGAAAAAATGAAGATCACTTTTGTGAATGAGCTCGATGCGCATGGATAAAAATCTTTCAATAGTTCGTCATCTTCTGCTCATGAACTAAAACTCGACTTCAACAATAAAATATGAGCAAAATTTATGCGGTTATAAAAGTCGGTAACTGAAATAAAAGATGTTACCGGCAATTATTTTATGCTTTCTATTGGAATAGGCACGATTTCTTCGATTCTGGACGTTTTTGTTGATAATTCAAAACGAACTGCATAGGCGAGATAAGTAAGTGGATCGAACAAAATAGTTGCTTTAATTTCATCGGTGTTCCTTCGAGAATGAAAATTTTCCAAATAATGTTCTGTACTTTCGTTTTGTTTTGCATTGAATTGCAACTCTGAAAACATTCTCCGATCGAAAGACGTACCATTATTCCATACATGAGCAATTTCTAGCTGATTGTCATACTTTAGATTCATCCATAAGCATAAATCCGATCGTCAGATTTACAGTCGTCAACGTAAATAAACGCTAATAAGTTTTTCATGTCTCTGCGTATTGTTTGAAACTTTTCAAATGTGAGAAGATCAAGAGTTTTATTCAATGGTTCGATGATTAATGAACATTGTTTACCATAATTATCTTCAATAACGATTTTGATTCTCAACGGTTGTGGCAGTGCAGTATTGGTTCGAGTACGTGCTTCTTTACATCTTCCAGCCGTTCCTCTTGTTAATATCTCTCCTTTTATACTGTATGAAAGCAGTTTATTCGGTTCAATATTGATTAAAAGATGAGATAACCATCTGATATCTTTTCCTTGTGCGGACTCAGGTGCGATTGCAAGATTTTGACATTCTCGCCAGCCACCATCATGCATTTGATAAAATAGAGATAAATTGGTAACTGAAATACCTTTATCGACAACTTGTGACCGTTTTTGACTTAAGATTTCTGATAGTATCGTTGTTTTTTCGAAAACAGCGATAGGAGTAATAAAAAATTGCTGTATAAACATGTCTTCCACATTCGATGCGATTTGCTCCATTGCGATAGTATTTTTATTACCATAAGCCATGAGAATTGCTGAGTCACCTTCACATTCATGTTTAGCTATTTTCAGATCCGAAGTAACATTTATATCTATTTGTGGTCCTGTTCGTTTCGGTCGTGGAATTGTAGCAGCTAGTTCTTTTAAAGGTTGCCATTGCTGCGCCGTAAGAATATTATTACCAATGATTTCATCAGATGAATCTTTCATTTCAGCCTTTTCAATACACATACGAGATCGATCAAGTAGAATTTGTAGTTTTCGAGACCAAACATCGTCATCCGAAGCAACTTTTAAGTGACATACGATAAATAACGACCTATCAGAGTCAGTATCATATTCCCATTGGCACTCGAGAAACCACGGAGCTGATGGTACATACTCCATTGTATTGTCCAGACGACCGATTAACTTATCTATAAAATATTTACATAAACTCTTATCAAAGACGATTAATTTCGAAAATAATCTTTTGGAAAGTCTATAAACTAACGAAAGCTTTATTCTTACTTTCTCGTTTTTCTTTGACAATTTCCATCAATTGATACATTCCAAATATATAAAGACTATCGATGGTTTTGGTTGATATCAGTCTTATAAATAATTCGGAAATATTATTAAGGCCAATTCGAATGATTTTCTCTCCTTTATCTGATCCATCGTATTGGATTTGTTCCAGCCAAACAATTGTATTGTCAAAAAATGTAAAGTATGTAAGAATGAATATTTTCTTGTCGACACAAATAATTTGATCATTGTCTTTGAGTACAGTTGAACATAAATCTGATTCACCTAAAGTAAACCCGTCCATAGTTGTTAACTGAACTATCTGTAGATGCTTGTATGAAAGTTTTTTAATGATATATTCTTGTAATGTACGAAGAAGTTCACCAATAGTTGTTGTTGAAGGAGTATCTATGACATAAACGAATTTACGTAATAAAGGTTTACCGTGATATGGATTTTGTCCATCACCCAATCGAACTTTAATCCGTAATTGCTCCATGTATTAGTTCGCTTAGTCAAATGATAAACAGGGAAAAAACATTTTGTGATATTCCATTAGTCAGTTGCCATAGTGATTGTAGTGAGAAATTCATGGAAAGGAAAAGGAAAAGGAAAAGGATGGTGTGAAATATACGTCTGTAAATATTAAATAGTTGAGTCATTTATATGGTACGCTTTTGTCAAAATAGTATAACTCCACGGATGTAGAGAAGTTTGTAATTTGTTTATTTAATACAGCGGGAGCGAATGATTGTTTTCAATGATCCAACAGACTACGAAAAAATGAGGCTATAGGTTACAAGGTTTTATTCATATATTCGCTTATATGCACGAATCAATCCGTATGCCAATTGCGAAATTATGTTAATAAATACCAATTTAGAATATACTCTCTAACTAAAAGGTTTTCTGACGGGATTATATTTTCATTTTTGCACGATTTTCATCAGTGATCTGCATTGTCGATATTTTTCATTCAATTTCCGTCTGTTTTCTCGATTGTTTAGTGCCAGTATGATCTTTGTGAAATTGTTGTATAGAATCCAAAGCGGTTCACTAATCTTAACAAATGTTGAATGAACGACGGTTATCCATAAGTGTAAATAAGGCAAACAATTCTTGGGAATGGATAACAAGACACATTCGTAAGATTTTCAATATTATTGAGCTATCGAACGGCAGTTCGACCATCAATCGCGACCTATCGTCTGCTTTTTCCTAGAAGTGAATTAGAGCTTTTATCACCATAAAATCTAACTAGTTATCGGAAGATGCAATGTCACTTTTGGAAACTTATCTTGAAATTTATGCTTATAGACATATTCTACTATCCTATTCAGTCAATAATATTACATTTTAATTCCTAAAAGCATTTATTTTTGTTTCGAGAAACAGATTTCTTTTTACACTTTTTCCCTATTTTTATATAAGCAATCAAGCAAGAAAATTGTAGCACTGAAACGCAACAGAATGACTGGAAGGAAGCGACTGCTGTAATATCTAAACACTAAGACAGTTCACAATTTGGTTACCAACTTTTCCAATCGATATTCAAAAGCAGTGCAACTTGAACGACGTTCCGCTTTACCAGGAATGAAACTATTTCATCAGCATTGCTCTCGACTATGATANATTTTGTCCATCACCCAATCGAACTTTAATCCGTAATTGCTCCATGTATTAGTTCGCTTAGTCAAATGATAAACAGGGAAAAAACATTTTGTGATATTCCATTAGTCAGTTGCCATAGTGACTGTAGTGAGAAATTCATGGAAAGGAAAAGGACGGTGTGAAATATACGTCTGTAAATATTAAATAGTTGAGTCATTCATATGGTACGCTTTTGTCAAAATAGTATAACTCCACGGATGTAGAGAAGTTCGTAATTTGTTTATTTAATACAGCGGAAGCGAATGATTGTTTTCAATGATCCAACAGAGTACGAAAAAATGAGGCTATAGGTGACAGGGTTTTATTCATTCATATATTCGCTTATATGCACGAATCAATCCGTATGCCAATTGCGAAATTATGTTAATAAATGCCAATTTAGAATATACTCTCCAACTAAAAGGTTTTCTGACGGGATTATATTTTCACTTTTGCACGATTTTCATCAGTGATCTGCATTGTCGATATTTTTTATTCAATTTCCGTATGTTTTCTCGATTGTTTAGTACCAATATGATTTTTGTGAAATTGGTGTATAGAATCCAAAGCGGTTCACTGATCTTAACAAATGTTGAATGAACGACAGTTATCTATAAGTGTAAATAAAGCAAACAATTCTTGGGAATGGATAACAAGACACATTCGTAAGATTTTCAATATTATTGAGCTATCGAACGGCAGTTCGACCATCAATCGCGGCCTATCTTTTGCTTTTTCTTAGAAGTGAATTAGAGTTTTTATCACCATAAAATCTAACTAGTTATCGGAAGATGCAATGTCACTTTTGGAAACTTATCTCTTGAAATTTATGCTTATGGACATCTTCTATTATCCTATTCACAGTCAATAATATTACATTTTAATTCCTAAAAGCATTTATTTTTGTTTCGAGAAACAGATTTCTTTTACACATTTTCCCTATTTTTATATAAGCAATCAAGCAAGAAAATTGTAGCACTGAAACGCAACAGAATGACTGGAAGGAAGCGACTGCTGTAATATCTAAACACTAAGACAGTTCACAATTTGGTTACCAACTTTTCCAATCGATATTCAAAAGCAGTGCAACTTGAACGACGTTCCGCTTTACCAGGAATGAAACTATTTCATCAGCATTGCTCTCGACTATGATANTTGACTTTTCTTCTATGATTAGAGATCTGAAACGTTTGGTGCTTTCATGTTCGTTCTTACCTAGAAATGATGTAACGGATAATTGTACATTATTCCAATGTAATGATGGAAGTAAATGTTTATCGAAGCACCGATTAGCAGATGGGGGAAACGATTGTTCCGACGGTGAGGATGAACATCAATCGAACACATGTGATCTCAATCATCAGTATCGATTTAAATGTGATAATCACATCAAATGTATCCATCCATCTTTGATACGTAATTACGAGGTAAGTATACACAGTTACAAAATAGTTCTGTTTTGGAAAGTTTTCTGATAGGACGATTGCGGTGATGGAAGTGATGAAGAGTATTCTCATGTTTCACTTTGTTCTGATGCAATGACGGAAGAATGTTATGCTCATCGTCGTCAAGCACATCAGTTTAACATGACATTCAGTCAACTCTGTAATAACATTGTTGAACGCATTCCAGATGCGAATAATGACACAGATGAATCTAATTGTCCCATGTCACAATGGAATTGTTTCACTCAATATACAAGATGTAATGAAGTCTGGAATTGTCCTGATGGTCGTGATGAACTCAACTGTCAGCGGTCTCTTCTTTCTTTACGTTACTGTGATTCAGTCAGTCATTTCTGTTTGAATATTCGAGACGGAAATCAAACATGTTTATCTAAGCAACAGGCTGGTGATGGTGTTGTCGATTGTGTTGGTTCAACAGATGAACGAGAATATTGTCGTGTTCATTATCCGTATGAGTTTAAACGTCGTTATCGTTGTCAAAATTCGACAAAGTGTATTCTGATTAGTGAAATATGCGATTGTCATCAAGATTGTCCTTGGAATGACGATGAAACGATCGCATGTCATTGGCTCAATAACGGAAAAGAAACGAATTGTGATCCTCATCGATTTCGATGTCGCGATGGCGAATATTCATCAACAGTTACGTTTAGATCACGGTGCAATGATAATCTTTTGGCGTGTAGTGATAAAGAAAATGTTCTCTTCTGCGATTTGAATGATCGATCAACTAGTCGACCATTCCAGACGAATGACATTCCAGAAGTTCCAAAGTCTAAAATCAATCCGCTGGCTCGAAGTTCAACAAAAGAAAACGATCTTATTCATTGGTATTGTAATCGTGGAATTTATGTGTATTCACCCTCAAGTCCTCTCGATTTCTATTGTATGTGTACAGAATCTTATTATGGTCATCGATGTCAATTTCAACGCAAACGAGTCGCTCTCATTCTTCAGTTACAAACAACCAGTTCATTCAACGCTGTTCTTTCATCTTTCAAAGTTGTTCTTCTCCTCGTACGAAATCATACTTCAAATACGATTGTCTCACATGATCAACTGGTGTTTACACCACATCGACACTGTCTACCGAAATATCTCANCTATTGTATGTGTACAGAATCTTATTATGGTCATCGATGTCAATTTCAACGCAAACGAGTCGCTCTCATTCTTCAGTTACAAACAACCAGTTCATTCAACGCTGTTCTTTCATCTTTCAAAGTTGTTCTTCTCCTCGTACGAAATCATACTTCAAATACGATTGTCTCACATGATCAACTGGTGTTTACACCACATCGACACTGTCTACCGAAATATCTCATTCATCTCTACTATCCAACAAATCAATCTTTGATTCCATCAACTAATTATTCACTTCACATTCACGTGTTTGTTGCCAAAACATTAGAACTTCGAAGTTCGTGGATATTTCCTGTTCCGTTTGAGTTTTTGCCTGTTAATCGTATAGCAAAACGATTGCTCATACCTGATGAGAGTTTCACACTACAGACAATACAATTTAATACAACAAATTCTAGATCATGTTCTAACGTGTCTCGTTGTATTGGATATGATAGTGATCTTTGTGAAGATATTTGTGTATGTCCACCATATTTGAGTGGTCGTCGATGTTTCGTTCCGTTTGATCCGTGTGTTAATCAGAACTGTAGTGGACATGGAAAATGTTTACCAGTTGACTCACGTCTCTATGAAACTGATCAATTTATTTGTATTTGTGAGAAAGAATGGTTTGGGGATGAATGTGAAGAATCAAAAGCTCGAATTCATGTGACATTTGCTTCGAATATTCCCAAACCATCGTCAAATATTGTATTTCTTCACACGTTGGAAATAAATTTTGTCAATGAGCCGATACATCTAACATATTTTCAGCGTCTGCGTTCAAACATATCCAATTATACAATTCTTTTTGATGAAGAGTATCTGCATGATTTAATTTTCATCCAGCTATATGAGCATAGCCATCAGTATGAATTTTATCTTCTACTGTCTCGGAAAATGAATAGTGTTGTATTAAAAGAGATCAATAGTGAAGTTGATCCATCTCATCGATGTCCACCAATTAATGAACTATTACATCCAGATATTATTCGTCTACCAAGGTTACGACGTGTCAAATATTATCAACAAATATGTCGAAATAAGGAGAAATTCGTGTGTTTCTATGATGATAAACTCATGTGTTTGTGTGATGAACGAAATCAGAGTGATTGTTTCAATTTTGAACCTACATCATATGGATGTCTTGAAAATCGATGTAGTGGTCGAGGAATATGTGTTCAAGATCATAATCTTTGTCCACGACAATCGTTGTGTCTTTGTGAACCTTGTTCTTATGGAGAGAAGTGTCAGTTTTCTCGATCTGGTTATTCTCTTTCATTAGATGCCATCATTGGATCACATATTCGATTAGCAACATCGAAGACAATCATTCGGATTAGTGTGGTTTTGATCTGTTTATTCGTTATTACTGGAATAATGATGAATATGTTAGGAGTTGGAACATTTCATGGACGAGCAACACAAAATGCTGGTTCTGGTTTTTATTTGTTAATTTCCTCATATTTTGGATTGATGACGAGTCTTTCATTGTCTGTGAAGTTAATTTTCTTATTTATCAGTAATCAAGGAAATGTATCATGTGCATTGATTGAATTCGTAATCAAATGGTCATTAACAAGTTGTGAATGTTTAAATGCATGTGTAGCCATTGAACGAACATTAGCGGTGAATCTTCGTACTAAATTCTCACGAATCAAAAGTAAAAGAGTCGCTAAACGGATTTCGATTGTTGTGCCTATGGTTGTCGGTGTTATCTGTTCACCTGAATTAATCTATCGTCGAATGGTTGTTGACACGACTGATGAAACTAATTGGTGTGTGTTCACATTGAATGCTGATCAACCGAATATCTCAGGTTTGTATTCAGCGTCAAGCATTTGCTTATTCTTAATTCCATTAACAGTCAACTTAGTGTGTAGTATCATGATTATCATTGGTATAGGCCAAATGAAACAAAAAACTGTTGTGAAAGTGGACAGTATCGGGCAAGCGTCCTCTATTAATCTTTCTCTTACTCCGATGAATACGAATTTCATGTCAAAACTGGCAGCAAATGGTATCATAGTACAGATTGCTAAACACAAGCATTTATTGGTGGCTCCAATTCTTTTAGCTATATTTGCTGTACCTCGATTAGTATTTGCTTTTGTATTCGTATGCAGTAAACTTGATCGATTTCCATTTCTTACTTTACCAAGTTATCTGATTGGGTTTTTACCGTCAATGTCTCTACTTTTTGCATTTATCCTACCATCTGATGTTTATCGAGCCGCATCGCTTACTTTTGTCAAATTCATTATACCTACGTATATTCAAAATTACTTCTTTCTATTTCGTCACAGATAAGATTCAGTTGTTACCTTTTATCTTATAACAACACCATCATTTAACTTTATCTTTACAAATTGCCTAGTTACAAACTAGAAACTCTCTGGTTTCGTAAATATCACGTTCTAAAAAGAGTGTGAAATCAGAAGAGTCGAAATAGGAATTCACCTTGTCCATGTGAGAGATGCTCTTCGAATTCCTTATGCTCATCGGTGTGTACGAATCAGTTAAAAATATATTTATAGTTCATGACTTCGAACAGTTTTTCATCACATTATGTGGTGATTGTAGGTGAAGCTTGTGAGACTGTTTAAAGTGAGAGTGTGAGCGGTGTACCACATACTTGAGAACTTAATTTCAGCAAAGGAAAAAATCGATAGAAGTGTTCCGAGTGAGCAATTTGCTGAAAGAAAGGAATGTAACTTATATGAGTACAATTTCGTCGCGTTGCATCGCGTGTAAAATATGCATCAGCGAAGATTTGTTCGGAATAATCTAGATCACTGATAATTTGAAAGGTTTTGTTCATTGTATATTGGAAGAGAGAAGATATGACATTCAACATCTCTATATGAGCAAAAATCAATATGAGATATTGACGCCGAAAAGCATGAGGTGTATAAATAATTTAGTTAATTGTGAAAATATCAAAGAAATAAATGCATAAAGATCCTCGTTCCTATTAACAAACAAGAGCTTTAATTTCCATTATCAACTGAAATCGTCAAACATGTTATTTTTTGTTTCGAAATATCGAAAAATGGTGATTGATCAAAGTCGGATCTCTATCAAAAGAATTGAATAAAGATATCCTTACCAGTAAAATAATGTCTTGTTGACTGATGATCAAGATCGATCAGAATCAGTTTGTACAGATGAGGAAATT